TAAAGTTGATACAGGAAAGAGTAGGAAATACTCTGGAGTTAGTAGGTATAGGTAAGAACTTTCTCAATGAAACCCCAGCAGCACAGCAACTAAGAGATAGCATAGATAAATGGGACCTCATAAAACTAAAAAGCTTCTGTTCATCAAAAGAAATGGTCTCTAAACTGAAGAGAACACCCACAGAGTGGGAGAAAATATTTGCCAGCTACACATCAGACAAAGGACTGATAACCAGAATATATAGGGAACTTAAAAAACTAAATTCTCCCAAAACTAATGAACCAATAAAGAAATGGGCAAGTGAACTAAACAGAACTTTCTCAAAAGAAGAAATTCAAATGGCCAAAAAACACATGAAAAAATGCTCACCATCTCTAGCAATAAAGGAAATGCAAATTAAAACCACACTAAGATTCCACCTCACCCCTGTTAGAATAGCCATCATCAGCAACACCACCAACAACAGGTGTTGGCAGGATGCGGGGAAAAAGGAACCCTCTTACACTGTTGGTGGGAATGTAACTAGTACAACCACTCTGGAAAAAAATTTGGAGGCTACTTAAAAAGCTAAACATTGATCTACCATTTGATCCAGCAATACCACTCTTGGGGATATACCCAAAAGACTGTGACACAGGTTACTCCAGAGGCACCTGCACACCATGTTTATTGCGCACTATTCACAATAGCCAAGTTATGGAAACAGCCAAGATGCCCCACTGACGAATGGATTAAGAAAATGTGGTATCTATACACAATGGAATTTTATGCAGCCATGAAGAACGAAATGTTATCATTCGCTGGTAAATGCATGGAATTGGAGAACATCATTCTGAGTGAGGTTAGCCTGGCCCAAAAGACCAAAAATCGTATGTTCTCCTCATATGTGGACATTAGATCAAGGGCAAACACAACAAGGGGATTGGACTTTGAGCACATGATAAAAGCGAGAGCACACAAGGGAGGGGTGAGGATAGGTAAGACACCTAAAAAACTAGCTAGCATTTGTTGCCCTTAACGCAGAGAAACTAAAGCAGATACCTTAAAAGCAACTGAGGCCAATAGGAAAAGGGGACCAGGAACTAGAGAAAAGGTGAGATCAAAAAGAATTAACCTAGAAGGTAACACACACGCACAGGAAATCAATGTGAGTCAATGCCCTGTATAGCTATCCTTATCTCAACCAGCAAAAACCCTTGTTCCTTCCTATTATTGCTTATACTCTCTCTACAAGAAAATTAGAAATAAGGACAAAATAGCTTCTGCTGGGTATTGAGGGGGTGGGGGGGAGAGGGAGGGGGTGGGGGCTGGGGGGAGAAATGACCCAAGCGTTGTATGCACATATGAATAAAAAAAAAAAGACCCTATCTGGAAAAAAACCATCAAAAAAATAAGGGGTGGCGGAGTGGCTACAGGTGAAGTCCCTGAGTGCAAGCCCCAGTACTGAAGAAAACCAAAACAGACAGATAAGGGGTTGGAGCATGAGCACCTCTGGAGGAATAACTCACAAAGCATATCCCAGGCAATACAAACAACAAAAGACCTCAGGCTCATATATGCTAGACATGCTTAAGGAGCAGCAAGGAGGCCAGTGGGTGGAACAAAATGAGCAAGAGGGAGCTCGCTTAAGATATGGGAGAGATGGAGCAAGGTGGACTGTGTAGAGCCTATGTGCATCAAAGGGCAACCAACAGTGCAGGGAAGCATCCTAAAGCACAGTACGAAACCATCCTCAGGTACTGTGCTTCCGAATTCTGCATTGCCTTGGGGGGAAACTGAAATCTGAAGGGAGACAACCATTACCAAGCTTGGTGCTTTCAATATTCCTGTGATTGAATCCTTACCACATCCTGCAATGTTATTGTAGTCACTTCCACTTTATGATTAAGAAATTAATTCAGAGATGATAAGTGGCATATCCCAGTGAGACAGAAGAGCCTTCAGAATGGCTCAGCAACAGGACTGATGGGGCCTGAGATGTCCTCAATTAGCTCCCATTCTTCAGACTGATACCACCAAACTGGAACCTGGGGTAATTTTAAATGTGGAGAGAATGTCTCTAAATTTTTTCCTTGATATGGGGGCTGGTTATTCAGTCCTTCTCTTGAAACATGGACTCCTCTTTACCCACCAAACAACTGTAAAGGGTTTATCAGGAAAGCCACTAGCCAGGTATTTCTCTCAGCCTCTCAGTTGTGAATGGATGACTTCCTTTTCACATGCCTTCCTAGTTATGCCAGAGACCCAAGTCCCCTACTGGGGAGAGACATGTTGGCTTATATACGTACTACTATTCTCATGGCACCTGGGCAATTATTATGTCTACCTGTAACGGAGACACACGTGGATCCAGAAGTATGGAGCACTCAAGGTAAAATAGTGCAACTGATTCTACCCTGTTAAAATCCATCTTGAAGACTCTGTAGCTTTCCCTTACCAGAGACAATATCCTCTAAGGTATAGAGAAAAGCAAGGATTACAACTAGCAGCTATCAGTCTACTATACTGTTTCTATAAATGGCAGGTGTTTTCTGTAGAATTTATGCATTTTCCTTAATGTTTTTATGATTCTTCTTTAAAATCCTATTGGTTTTATGCACATATTAAGAAAACCATCTTTTACTTTAAGGGGTGGTTTTCACTAATTTCTGTTTGATTTCTCTTTTAGTAAAAATAACTGGATGTCTCCTGGTCCTGGTTTTGGCAACCAGTCAACTAAATTTCCCTTGTTACCTCTTAAGTTTAAGACAAAAATGGGAGCCTCAAATAAAGACCTCCATCTATTCGGGACCCTTAGATCGGCCTCTGTGAGAAGCCATCCCTGCAGATGTCCCTTCCTAGCTCAAAGCAGCCAAAAAGCAGTCAGTTACTACTTCAGAGGGGGGGAATGAGACAGAAGGACCCCTGGAAACCTCTATTGTGACCTCCCTGTGACATTCCAGGGTGGAAAGAAAGCAAAGCAGGAAGGACCAGAATAAGGACAGTGTGAGAACTATTACACAACAATCAGAATGTTGCAGGCACAGCCAACCAGAATGCTGCTTTCTGCACACCTAATTAGCATAGAGATTGAGCAAGGCCCTGGAGAGAAAGGATAAAAACTCAGATCAAGGCACTTCTCTGGAAACATAGTCAGGACCCCTCCCTTCCCACGGGAGCTCCTTTCTTTCCCTTAATAAACTTTCCTATCTCTATGCTCACCTTTTGTTGTCTGAGAAGTTCATTCTTCAGCTTTGTGAGACAAGAACCCAGAATGCCAACCCTCCTGGCTGAACACCTAAGCCAGGAAGGTTGAGTGGAGGCTTGCAGCCCTGCACAAATCTGTTTCACAAGGCAATACAATATGTGTCAGATTTTTCTAAACTACCCTTGAAATTGCTGCTTCACTGTCTGAAAACCTGATCCAAGATCTGCACACTTTTCTATTTGGAAATTTTACTTCAAATAAATAAACAAATAAGCAAATAAAAAACATGAAAAATAACATGACCTACTTTTTCCAAGTCTTGCCATGGGGCGGGGGGTAGAACAAAAACAACAAAAAATAGAAGGCAGCAATGGAGATTCTAGCCCCTGAGAGCCAACCACAGCCACCAGAATACGATTCTCTGATGCTGGCTTCCTTGAGGATTATTTTATACTAACAACCTGAAAACAATCAAAGTGTTCACCATTGAGGAATTAAATTGGCTTAGCAATATTATAAAATACTAGGAACACTCCCAAAATGTTGTATGTTTATGTTTATTGACACGGGAAGATAAATGCTACATATTAAGTGGAAAAATAGTGTGGTTAGATAAAATAGCATTTGTGGTATGATCTCGTTTTGAAGAGACTGAGGGGAAAATAGCTGCTTTACATGTAGGATGCACAGAATAAATCTGCATTTCCCTCTCATTAGCCTCAGAATATTCCAGATCATACTAAAAAAATTAAATATCAATTGAAGCTTCTTCTGCATGTCATCACATTCAAGCAAATCTCCTACGCTAAGCCTATTACTATTATTTTATTTATTTGTTTATTTTATTTTGTGGTACTGGGGCTTGAACTCATGGCCTACACCTTCAGCCACTCCACCAGCCCTTATTGTGTTAGGTGTTTTCAAGATAGGGTCTCAAGAACTATTTGCCCCGGCTGGCTTTGAACCAGGAATCTCCTGATCTCCGCCTCCTGAGCAGCTAGGATTACAGACCTGGGTCACTGTGCCCAGCTAAGCCAATTATTTTTAAATTGCTGTGTGACGGTTCCCTATGGGTTATCTCCTAAAAGCCCTCCAAAATTTAATTTTGTGCTGTCAATCACACACCTATCTGGAAAAGCTAAAGGGCTGACCTTAAAAGCAAGCGAAAAAAATGGAGACTAAAATCCTCCTGATAGTACTTTTTGCTAGAAACAATGTAATGTCTTTTGTAAGAAATTGTTTTCCATTTGTTCTGTTTCAGATGGGCTGGTTAGTGGCTCGTGGTACAGTGCCTGCCTAGCAAGTATGAGGCCCTGAGTTCAAACCCCTATACTGCCAAAAACAATCAAATTTCTATCCTTAGTATGGCTTTTGGTTTTGTTTTTCACAATACTGGGGTTTGAACTCAGGGCCTCATGCTTGCTCTACCATTTGAGCTACTTCCCCAGCCTCTTGGTATGTTTCTTAAAAACACTGTATTTCTACATACTTTTACATATTTAGTTGGGCATTTAAAATATTTTTTAAGGACTGGTGGAGTAGTTCACTGCCTACCTAGCAAGCATATATATATGATATTTTGATTTAAAAAATGTTGGGGCTGGGGGTGTGGGTCAAGTAATAGTGTGTGTGACAAGCAAGCACAAGGCCCTGAGTTTAAGCCCTAGTACCTCCCCTGACCAAAAAATCCTTTAAATGTATACTTTTAATATTAAGAATACCTAACTCTCTATGTATTTTATGAAGACTCATAAACAAAATTTTGGATCTTCTGATTTGTAGTTGCAGGTTGTGTGTAAGATTTTCAACTCACCTCCTCCTTGTATCCAACCGTTCTGTACTACTCGATGAAAAATTGAATCCTTGTAGTGTAGCCTTACACCTCTTTGAGAAACCCCTGCTTTTCCTGTGCACAGGACCTGAAAATTTTTACATGTTTTGGGACATGCATCACAGTATAGCTACAAAATAAAGGTGAAAGTTTTCAAAAGTTAAATAGCAACATTTCAATAGTTATATGTGCTTCCCAACTTACTAAGAAAACCCAACAAAATCTTCTTACCTCAAAAATCAACCTTCCAGTTGGAGAAAAATCGATCCGAATGTCAAAGAAAACAAAATCATGCTATTAAAATTAGGAGGAAAAACACAATGTAGGTCAATGTCTTGTAAAAAGGTTTTAAAAACGACAAAAAAATGAAATGCACATTGTTTTCAGAGATAAGATTTCAATATTATCAACAGATAACAGAAAATTAAATGGATGACTTAAAGAAGTTTATCAACTCTTCACAGCTTACATATTTTTAAAATTTTGTTTTTCATTATACATTTTAAAAACACTTTAATAGTGAAGCTTTGGGAAATGTTAACTTATACAGGACTGAGAACACATAGATTAGATGTTTACTACCTTGTAAACTCAGTGTGGAAAGGAACACTGGACAGTCCCCCTTGGGAATGGAAACAGACTGGGAATTCTGCTTTACTTCTCTCTCTCTCTCTCTCTCTCTTTTTTTTTCCTTAGTAGTTTTGGGAGAAGATCCATTATGAGTACCATGGATTTGGTCACTGTGTGTCCTAGATTTTCTGAGACAGTGCAGTTTAGCTACCCAGAGCCAAGTCATACCCTTTCCCAGTAGAAAAATAAGGCTACCATTTCTACAGGAGACGAGGCACCAGGGGTAAGGGAGACGAGGGTCCCTTGCTTTCTAGTTACCTTCAGTAACACCCTCCTGTGCACAGATACCCCCAGCTTGTGTTTTCACTTAGGATGACATCTGTGAGATCTTTCCTAGCTCTAGGAAGAGGCACCCAATGAAAACACTGATCTTTATCACAACAGCATTTGGCTAGGGGACACAGCACATCTAATGGGGTGCGTCCAGGTCTTGGACACTACTGTCATATATCAAAACGCCACCTTAACTTGTCTGGGAAACGTAACTAGCATCACCTTAAATGTATCATATTATTTTATGTCACTCTAACCATTTTGCTTTTAAATTAAAAGGCTTAGCTAATAATACTACACTGTCTGGCATCCAGCAAATAAACATTACATCATACTAATTATAATTAATTTGTTTGGGTCTCTCAGCTTCTGTGCCACAAGCTCTTAATTATAAAAGAGAAAGCTATAACTTAACAATAACAGCATAATTATAGTAACCTCCAAGCTTAGGAGAGAAAAGAGGCTATCTTGGAAATCATGGTTGACTGAGGAAATGAGTAAGTCCATTCAGGCCTAATTAAATTTCCCTCTCTTCTTTTCTTCCTCCTCCTCCTCCTCCCCTCTCTCTCCCCTCTCTCTCTCTCTGTCTTGCTATGTTGCTTAGGCTGTCCTTAAACTCACACTCCTCATGCCTCAGCCTCCTGAGTGCTGGGATTACAGACGTGGGACATTTCATCCAGCCTTAAATCAATTATCCGACATTATGGTGACGTCAAGAGTAGATAATTCTGGCTGGGCATGGTATGCTCTATAATTCCAGCACTGGGGAGATGGAGGCAGGAGGATGGTGAGATTGAAGCCAGTCTGGCTGCATAGTGAGATCCTGTCTCAAAAACCAAAAGAGTAGATAATTCTGAAACTGCTGGTGAAGAGAAACCAAACCAATGCCACACAAGGAAGCATCCTACTCACCTAACAACCACACTCCTACATACTTGTCTGGCATATGGTTCCAACCTGGAAGTAAACAAGTCCCTGTGTTTGACTCAGCAAGAAAAGTCCATCTTCTGCAAAAAAGCTCAGAATTTTCTCTAGAATCTATTTCTCCATCTTTACCACCACTAATTAATTGAGGCTTTCATTATTCCTACCTCGTGCCACTACAGCGGCTTTCCAAATGACCACCTTGCTACTATTTTGGCACAGCCCTAAGTTTTTTTTTTTCCCCCCAAAAAAGCCAATAGGATTATGTCATACTCTTTCTCAAAAGCTCTGTTGGCTGGGTTTCCTTCTGGATAAAATGTAACTTTGTAGTTCAGAATGGACAGTATATCATCTGACCTCAGCCTTTCTTTAGGAGGCTGGGGTTCCCACTGCTTAACAGCTAGCTGAACACCCTTCCTAGCTGGAACTCCTCATAGCTCCCATCACCATCACCACAGCTAAAGGGGTTAGATTCTTCCTCTTCCTACCTGGGACAACCAGGTGGTGGGGATAGGACCTAGGCTTGTCAGTGCTCCCATCTGGGACTCTGAAGCCCTAGGGGGTGATGCAAAGACACTGGGGAGAGTTGAAAAGTTAGCCTCCATGATGGTGGCAGTGCCTTGGGCAGCCTCCTGGCCACAGGTTCTGTGGCATAACTCTGGGCATACTTTCCTGCTGTCTGACCTGACTGTTTTCCAAAGCTGGTTCTCCAGATTTCCTGGCAATTATGAGATAACCAGTTTCATTTCAATACTTACATTTTCTCCTTAAGTTAATCACAGCAGCATGGTATGTTGGCACCAATATCCCTGGTTGATATTCTCATTTTCCCAGGCTCATTCCTACTAATTCTGGGCTCCTTGTTCCCTGACACTCCCAGAATGCACAGTGTACTTCTAGACTCCTGTCCCTTTGGGAATTAACTATGAACAATAATTCTCCTCCATACCCCAGAGTTTGCAGCATTTTAAAAATACACCAAACATTCATTGGGCACCTACTATATATTTTATTGCTGTTCAAGGCGGTGGTTAAGTGAGAATCCAGAAGACAAGGTCTCTGCCTTTGCACAGCTCATATCCTAGCACTCTGGGGATACGTTTCTTGACTGTGGTCAAGAAACGAATTCCAGTAGGTGACAGGTGTTGCTGCAATGAGGTTACTGACAGAAATTACAATTCTTTACCTCTGTTGCCATCCGACCCTGGTGTGTCTCTCTCTCTCACCCCTGGACCTCATGCTTCTCACTATCCACTGCCACTGGAAACTGTCACAGCCTATAGAGGCCTGCTCTTGCCAGCTCTGTGTCATGCTTTAAAATGTCACTTTTAGTGGCAGTACACACCTGCAATCCTGGAAGCTGAGGCAAGTGGATCTCCAGCATGGGTTACATAGGAAGTTCTATATCAGTTAACATATGAGGTAAAATATTTATGCTGCAGATGAATCAACAGTGGGCTTGACGTATTCCAGAGGGTCTTTATATATTGGATCTTGCTATGTTGTCCAGCCTGACCTTGAAATCAGAGGTCCAAGCAATTTTCCTGCTTCAGCCTCCTGAGTAGCTGGGATTACAGGTGCATGCCAAGGGCTCTTTATATTTTAAAATGGATAATTCATGTATATAAGTCAGTCCAGAGGAGTAGAAATATCCAAGAGGGTTGTTTTCCCTGTGCAGTCTGCCTGCTGTGAGATACATTTGCCTTACATACCATCTGGCCAAACTTTGATGTGCAATAATCCTTTGCAACTGGATTTGAACAAGGTCACTGAGGGCTTACGATCTAATCGCCTACTTTTTATATCCCTTTTGTTAGGAGAGCAACAATTAATGCGGAACCAATATAAATGATCAAAAATTTCACTATTTTTCTTTAAAAATCAGTGTGACTTGCCTTGGTGTCTCTTAAGAACTTAGCAGCATAATCCATAGTCAGTGCCTCGTAAAGTGCAGGGGGCCTAACGTCAACTATATCCCACACCTTTTGACCCCATTTTTGAAGATCAAATGCATTGCCCAGGAGTTGATCATTAATAAAACACATCACAAAGGAAGAATATTCCCAGGTTTCATCCTTGAGTTCCTATAGGAAAGAGGGAGAGAGAATGTAATGAAGAGAAGAAAAACAACTTGCTAAACCCATAAACCAGAGCATGGGATCAACTCTAGGACTGCTTTGTCCACTCTTGCACGGACTACTTTAAAAATATGCTTCTTATCATCCTTCAGAAGTCAAAGAGAATTTAAGAACATGTTTGAGAATCTAACATCACTGACAGCACCAAATGATTTAGAAAACAGTCTTTAAGAAGTTGCAATCATAGAAGATAGATGGAAACCTGCTGGGAAGAATCACTATGTTACATGAACTTGCAGACAAAATGCCATCTCTGTCTTCATTTATAAAGCACATTTTACTGTGTGCGTTCTTGAAATGGTAAGGGGTTCTGGGCAAGATAAGATTTTCAATGCACATGAAACCACAATGAGTGGTTGTATATATGTTGGGGACAAAGGACCTCAGGCATGAGACACTGGGTTTTTTTTTGGATGGAGTGAGGTCATCTTTAGGAAATGGTCAAGGGTCAGCAGGGAACACAGTCAGGGCAAGAAAGAAGTAAACTCACCTTCCTCAACACTGTAAGTCCTAACCCCTTAAAATGAAAGGTGTTAGCATTTTCACCCATGCACCCAAAGTTAAAACTCCTGAATTCCTAGTGCTGCCACTGAGAAACATCCCGTCTGAAAAGAGCTGGCTTATTATTACCCAGTACCAGCCTGGGCAAGCCATGAGATGGGCACAGCCATTCTCAAACTTAGCAGGCAGTCAGAATCACAGATCCCTGAGCCCATCTGATCATGGGATGGCTCCCGAGAGAGAACCTGCATTTCTGCTAACGCCCCAGGAGATGCTGGTGCTATTGCTCTAGAGACAGCATCTGGACAAATGCTAGTTTGGGCAACAGTTTGCCTTCAACTTGCTCTGTCCTCAGCTCCTCTGAGAGCGAATATCCTACAAAACCTGCTTCCCGACAGAATAAAATTATTCATAAATCACTGATAAAGCCTATGTGTGAATATTCAATGCAGTGTTAAAATTTATCAGTGGTATATTTTGCAGGACCCAAAAGCCAAAGTGGGAGAGAAAAAAAATCTAATTAGTCAGATGGAGCAATGCAGTAGAAGAAGGTACATTTTATTTGGAGGCTGAAGATATAAATTCCTTATTTGCCTCAAGCTAGCAGCCTGGACCTGATGCCTTCTAGTTTTCCATCACTAAGACCTGATACTGCCTTTTCCTTAGACAAGAGAGACAGGCCTTTGCAGGGCCTGGAAGCTGGCTATTCCCCTGGGGTAGCATTACATTTTGCTGAAACACAAGGTCAACTGGACCTAATGAATTGGCTAGCTGTTACTCAGTCCAAATGTACTAAGCAACACAAGACACAAGGCTTACGTTGAAAGAAGACCCAAAAACCAGCCTGGAAAGAAAGAAAAGCTTAAGGTGACAAATATGCAGAGGATGAGGGTAGGAGAGAGAAGAAAGAAAAGATAAAGAATAAAGGAGAGATAGCAAGAAGCAGTATTAACTAGAAAAGTCTCATTTAGGGACCCAGTAGGAAGTGAATACAAAACATCTCCAGGTAGCCAGGCTGAAAAGGGAGGAGAGGTAGACTGTAGAACTTACACCAGTCTATAAGAGGACAGTGGGAATTTGCAAAATTTTCTAGGAGTAGATGCAAAACACTCCATAAGATCATGGTTTTCCTGTAAGCAGAACATGAAATTGGTAGGTAGTATCATAAGTTTGGTAATAAAAATTAAGAAAGAGATTTTTTTTTTTGGACACAGGTCTTGCCCAGGCTAGCCTTGAACTTAGAATCCTACTGTCTCTACCAGGAGCAGTGCTGGGACCATAGGCATGATATTGTTTTATATTAGGGTAACCAAATGTCCCAGTTTGCCTAGGACTGTCTAATTTTAGCACTAAAATTGTCACATTCCAGGAAACCTGTCAGTCCCAGGCAAAACAGGACCCATTGGTTACCCTAGCAGTGTTAAGTATTAGAATGTGTGTGTGTGTGTGTGTGTGTGTGTGTGTGTGTGTGCTGTTAGAATAAGTGCCTGACATATAGTAAGTATCATATATAAGAGTTTGTTATGGTTCTTTTTGAAGCCCAGTGAAAATGTTTTATAGCTATGAAAGTATGAGACTTAAGGTACTCTTGACTCAGTCTCACCATTCATGTGACAGAGCAGAGTGTGAAGTGGCCTCATAACGTAACACTATTTATATGGTACTTAATGACAGGATCACAGAACATTCTTGTGCAACCAAGCTCTGAACAGCTGAAACAGCTCTGATCAGGATAATGGAGATTTCATCATCCACTAGGGAGCTGGGGTGGGGCAGGGAAACCAAGACTGGGATCCTCTCCAGGACTAGACCAGGGACAACAAGCAGGAGTTGTATCCTATCCCAGCCTCTTCAACATGAGATATGTTGGGTCCAGGATGCCACCTTAGTATTCCTCTGACATACTCCAGGCAGCACTAATACTGATCAAGGTGGCACCCCGATGAACGGTACCTAATCTCCATGGACAAACTATGTTAGTCCCAAGGTTATTGTAAGAGGGGGGAATGTGGAGAACAGAGCTTCAACTAGGACACACTGCCCTGTGGGAGCTTAGTGACTGTCAGTAGAGCTTCTCCATGCAACAGCCCCACACAAACCCACTGCTATCTGTGATATTCACCACCCACACTTTCCAGAATAAGGGCCAGGCCACAGTAACTTGAGTGCCATGGTGTCACAGGAAGTGTAAGTGACACATAGGGAGGGAGGGATAACCAACAGCAGAGCTAAATAACACCGCTGAGAGTTTAAAGTTTACCTTTATGACAGGACTTCCAAAGGAAAATCCTATAAATATGTTACTGTTTAAAAAACTCAACCTGGTAAAATATTGAAATAATTAAGGAAAAGGGCACAATTTAGATAAATAAAATCTAGCTGTATTCAAATTACCCTTCCATTTTTTTCAAAACAACAGATAAATAATCCAGGCAGAGCTTTTTCTGTTGACCATATCTGGCCTACCCAAAATATTCTTTACCCTTTTTTTCTCCTGTAGATATTGATCCCATGCAAATTCTTGAAGAGGAACCATTATTGGATCTTCAAATTTGGATGGAAAATTATTCTTCAGACTCTAGTTTCAAAAGAGAATAATGAGAATAAGTTCTCTTTTAAGTCAAAATCATTTCCCTTAATTTTAATGAGATCTCCAGGAAGTTTTATGCAGCACATATCAAAGCCACACAGTCTAAATGTCTAAGATGTCCCTGCCTACTTCAGAGACCCCTCCAAGCTGCTCCTCAGTCCACATCTGGGCTCCAGCTATTTGTCTCTCACTTTTAGATTATAACCACCTGAGGAAAAGGTACCAGAGACTTCCTATATTCCCACCTGCCGCCACATCTGGCACATAGTGGACAATCCACACATAGCAAGTGAATAAACAGTAAGTTTATACCAATTGTTTTGTGGTCTGCTATGTTTTTTGGTGGTACTAGAGTTTGAACTCAGAATCTTGTGCTTGCTATGCAAGTGACCTACCACTTGAGCCGTGCTTCCAGTTCTTTCTGCTTTTAGTCACTTTTCAGATAGAGTTAGGAGTTTTTGTCTAGGGTGGGCCTTGGATGGTGATCCTCCCCTCTATGCCTCCTGTATGGCTGGGATTAAAGATGTGTACCATTACGCCTGGCTTGATGGTAGGGCTGGGAGTGTGACTCAAGCTTGCCTGCCTAGCAAGCACGAAGCCCCGAGTTCAAACCCCACAAGTGCAAAATAAGTAAATTAAAATTTTTTTGTCCAAGCTCACCTTGAACTTTGATCCTCCCGATCTCTGCCTCCCCAGCTGGGATTACAGGTTTGAGTCACCACGCCCAGCCTGCTATGTTCTTTTTTTTTTTTTCTGGAGGTACTAAGGCTTGAACTCAGGGCCTCATGCTTGCTAGGGGCACTCTATCACTTGAGCCACTCTGCCAGTGCTGTGATCTTTTAGGACTAGTTTTTCTGCAACTTAAACTCCTGCTAATTAACTTATAATAAAAATAAGTAAATATGATTGCTTTAATTTGCTGATGTAAGGATGATGACCGAAAGGGTGTTGTGGTTATAACCCTTTAGAGAAGTAAATACGAAACAAGTTTAGGTTTGGAGTTTAGGTTCAGTATTGAGTAGGTTTTGGTTGAACATACATCCTTTTTTTGTCTGAATCAAGAAAAAATCATTTTTTTTTGCAGTACTGGAATTTGAACTCAGGACCTCATGCTTACTAGGCAGGCACTCTATCACTTCAGCCATTCCACCAGCCCTGAAACACAGAAAATTCTTACTGGTAGCAATCCCTGTCAAGAAAATTCTTTTGTGGTTCTTGATATTAGTTTTACCGCCTCCCTCTAAAGCAAGAGAAGGCAGCTGAAGCAGTGACAGGCTTCACTTTTCTGAGTGGGTCTGAGAAAAAGTGACAGCTGCTATAGTAGGCACCTTCATGCCACGGATGGATGGTATCTGGGGCTGTGTGGTGGTCTAAAAGGCCACTGGCCTGGCCTGCTTCTTCAGGGGTGGAATTCCAAGAAGCAGCAAGCAGGGCATAGTGCATCCTACTTGGGGTCTAGGGTAGCAGAAAAGGGCAAAGGCAATCCGGCTATTACTTTCTTAAACTATGGCACCCAACCAGCAAATTACTCGTCCTGAGCTGGGCACTGCAGAGATCAAGAGGATCACAGTTCGAAGCCAACCTGGGCAAATAGTTTGCAAGACCCTATCTCGAAAAAAACCCATCACAAAAAAGGACTGGTGGAGGGGCTCAAGGTATAGGCCCTGAGTTCAAACCCCTAATATCACAAAAAAAAAAAAAAAAAAAAAAAGAAACAAACAAAAAAGAAAAAAAGACACAGCCTGTTTCTCAGTTCCGGTGTCTGTGCTCAGTCTGAGCCAACCCTAAAGAATGACTGCGGGATTCTAACTGAGGCACTATCTGGAAACCAAGCACAATACTGCTCTCATAATTTGGTATTTGTTCTAGAATGGACCACAGCCAAATTAAAATATATGTAATATATTGTTATTGTTAGTAAATCAGGCATCTGGGATTGCTTACAAATGATCGTGTTGGGAATCTATTCAAATATCCTCTATTAAGACAGAACTAACTGAATTTACATTGAGAAGTTTTCATATTCGAACAGAGCTACAGTAGCCAAAAGCTTAAGGGAAAATTACATTGTTAATGTAGTAAAGATACTGCTCTATTGACTTAGTGTCCTCTGCAGCAGAAGCTGACAAACTGGCTAGTGAGTCAAATGTGGCTCACTGCCTGTTTTTGTTAAGGCCTGAAAACAAAGAATAACTTTTGTATTTTTAAATGCTTGAAGAAAATGAAGTGGTGGATCCTATTTCATGTCATGTGAAAATCATACGCAAGTCAATTTCAGTATCCTTAAGGTAGTTTTATTGGAAAACTACCTTTCATTGACAGGCCTGTGGATGCTTTTGTTTTTGAAAGACAGGGTCTCACTGTGTAGGCGCCCCCCACCTCCACACTTCTGTAGCTGCTTTTACAACACAAAGACAAAGCTGAATAATTGTGATTGAGAACCTATGGCCCAGAAGACCTAATAAATTTGCTACCTGGTCCTCACAGGAAAAAAAGAAAAATGCTAACCCTTTCCCTATAGCGTGGAGAAAACAAGTGCTTTTAGAAAAGGAGCCAAGAAAAAGGGAAAAGAAAAAATTCCCTTAAACTCATGAAATACAAATTTGCTGTAAAACATTTGTGTTGCTGGTCCCATCTGCCCAGTCAACACAATTCATAATTCCTACATCTTTGGATGATGCACGTGTCATTTTCACAGACTTCTTTTTTTCCTGATTTGATATAATTAAAATCTTTTATTCTACGGACGCTGGAGCAGGCAAGAAGACAGGGATTTTTTTTTCAGATGAATTCTATTTGGGAACATTTTATTGCGCAGTGTCCAGGGGGGTGATTTGGAAGATACAAACACTAATAAGGCATGGTCGTGGAGACACTTCTGCAGCTAACTCGAAAAGACAGGCTGAACGCTCCATTTCAGCATCGCTGCATTCATACATAGCCGCATTTCTGCCGCGTCGTAGTGCTAGATATGCCGCAGCACGACTGACCTGGCCAAATGCCTCATTTTCCTCCTGTTTTCCTTTTGTGCCATTCTGCATGTTTATCAAGAAATGTTAAGCCGGGAGCCGGTGCCTCATACCTGTAATCCTAGCTACTCAGGAGGCAGAGATCAGGAGGATCATAGCTCGAAGCCACTCCGGGGAAATAGTTCACGAGACTTTATCTCAAAAAACCCTTCACAAAAAACGGCTGATGGAGTGGCTCAAGGTGTAGGCCCTGAGTTCAAGCCCCAGTCCAGCAAAAATAAATAAATAAATATTAAGTTTATTGAAATCACTTGTGGGCCATTTATTAAGAAATTCGTGACGCATCAAATTCTGTTGGAATGCAGTGACTACTGTAAAAATTTTAAAGAACACTTGCGAATGAATAGTTTTCAAAAAAAATCATTGGGGGGGGTGTTGTTAAAAAAAATCAGCTAGTTATACAACCACACTGTTCTCTGATCTTTCTTTTGATGAATCTTAAAAATCTATAATTCAATTAAAAAATTGACGAGGGATGTAAATTACATTTCCCCGGGAAGCTTCTGAACGCTTCCTTCGCTCCGATCTCCCTTTACAGGTCGTGCCCGCCCCGGATCTGCACTTGTTCGCTATTCAAGCTCCTCGGGGTGATTCCGCGGAGCGCGCCCGCCCCGCGGGTCCCGTCCTCATCGCCCCAGCCAGCACCGGAGAGCAAGCGAGGCGCGCGCCGTCCTCGCGCCCGGGCCACACGTGGAGCTTCTCCCCGGTTACCTCAGCCATGATCTTCGCAACCTGAAAGCTGGAGCTTTTGAACAGTCCCACTACCTTCACCTGCAGTGACCGCTGCGGCGGTGACTCTAAGCTGCACGGGACTGGCTTGGGCCGGCAAGGCAGCGGGCTAGCCATGGCGGCGCTGAGAGACTGGCAGAGCGCAAACACTGCGGGTCGCCGCGGCAACCGCGAGGCCACGCCCCCGCGAGGCCACGCCCCACAGTGCGCGCAGGGGGCGGGGCCGAGTGCAGGGCGGGCGGCGTGGGCCGCTCCTCAACTTTGAGCCTGTTGCTGGCGAGCTTGGAAAGGACCTGGTGAGGGGCGCTAGGACCGCGGCGGCCAGGAACCAGCGTCACCGCAAAGGAACGCGAAGCCGTCCACCCCGGCGCCCTCTCGGGACCCCCAGGGATCTCGCGCTTGCCGGGATTTCGCTGCAGATCTTCTTTCCGGGTTGGCGGACAGCCCCATCAGGGCCTGAGGATCGACTGGCCGAGTAACGAGGAGTCTCCCAGGCTGGTGCCGCATGGGTTTGGGGAGCACAGGAATAGGAGTAGGGCTAGCCACCTGTGCGCACAGTCCTGGGAGGAAACGCAGCCCGCCGGCCCCTGCCCCCGCCCAGTCGCTGGGGAGATCGATCGGTCTGCGCCCTCTGAGCAGCCCCATCATGAAGCCTAACTTCTCTCTGCGACTGAAGGTCTTCAGTCTCAACTGCTGGTGAGTGCGCCCCCGGGTTGCTGCCTAGGGGCCACCTTCCCATTCGTACTCGCGCAGCCAGAGGAAGGAAGAAGGCCTTTCTCACAGCCCTGCTACGTTCTGGGGGTACACGGAGAACTCGAACCGCCAGAGTCCACTTCGGTTCCACCGGCAGTCACCTTCCCTTCCTTTCCTTAGGGGCATTCCCTACCTGAGCAAGGACTGGACCTATCGCTTGGGGCGCATAGGAGACTTTCTGAACATGGAGACCTTCGACTTGGCCTTGTTGCAGGAGGTGGGGTTGTGCGGCCCTGATGTGGATTCCAGGCCGGGAGGAGGGCATTGGGGTAGGGGTGGAGGGCTGGAAGAGACTCCCTCTGCGGAAAAGGACAGGCAAGCATCCCTACCCTTCCCTCAGGTGTGGAGGGAGAAGGACTTCGACTACCTGAAACAGAAGCTGTCACTCAGGTACCCAGCTGCACACTACTTCAAGAGGTGAGAGGCCTACAGGCCTGAGCCTGTTCTCATTCTAGGAGCTTTTGGCCCTTCCTGGTCCTGCCTACATCCTCTTTCCTCTTCCTGTGTGTGGGAGCTGGAGAGGGAGAACCAGGAAGATCCCATTTCTTCAGCCCACCGCTACCTGTTCACGGGCGAACCCCTCATCCTCCTGCAGGGGCCGTTGTCTTTGACGTTTATTCTGGGTCCTAGAAGTAGAGAGAAGTTACTGATCAGAGCTGGGAGACTAGAGAGAAGAGGAGTGGGTATTGCCCTCCCTGCTTTTCTGGTTATTAAGCAGGGCTTGGCTTTCAGCGGAATCATTGGCAGTGGCCTCTGTGTCTTCTCCAAACACCCAATCCAGGAAATCACCCAGCACACCTACACCCTCAATGGTTACCCCTACATGGTAAGCCTCCCTCCCCCACCTCCATAACACAAGGGGGAGGAGGCACCATTCTGGTGCCACAGGGACTGGGCAGAAGTGTGTCAGTGTCCTGAGTTCTGCCTCCTGCCTGCAGATCCATCATGGTGACTGGTTCTGTGGGAAGGCTGTGGGGCTGCTGGTGTTCCATATAAGTGGACTGGTGCTCAATGCCTACGTGACCCATGTGAGTGAAGGCAGGGGTGCTTAGGGGCTGGGATGGAGATGCTGCCTGGGGGTGAATGTGGGGCCAGGATTTCCTAAAGTAGCAGTAGGCAAGGTTCATTGTTCCGTACCAAACATTCCGCCAAATGACAGACACAAGCTAGATGCTTGATTTAGACAGGGCCCTGGGGCCCTTGTCTTACCTATTGTGATTTCATCTGTCTCACTTAGCTCCATGCCGAGTACAATCGACAGAAGGACATCTATCTAGCACATCGTCTGGCCCAAGCTTGGGAACTGGCCCAGTTCATCCAGTGTGTGAGCCTGGGCTTAACAGGGGAAGTGGGAGGGGTTCTAGGGGCTGAGGGTGGCCAAGGCTCCACTTAGAGGGCAGAATTCCTTCCTTTCGGACCTGGCTCCCCTAGCCACACATCCAAGAAGGCAGATGTGGTTCTGTTGTGTGGGGACCTCAACATGCACCCCAATGACCTGGGCTGCTGCCTGCTGAAGGAGTATACAGGGCTTCGTGATGCCTACCTTGAGACCCAGGACTTCAAGGTGAGAATGCTTCCTGCCCATATTGCTTTTCTCCCTCTAGGAGATGCTCTAGGTAGCCCTGAGCATCCTAGCTCCCTGTTTCCCAGGGCTCTGAAGAAGGCAACACCATGGTACCTGAGAACTTCTATGTCAGCCAGCAGGATCTGTGGCCGTTTCCCTGTGGTATCCGCATTGACTACGTGCTTTACAAGGTCCCACTCCTCCTCTTAACCTGCTGTCTCTATAGATCTGTCACCAACCTATGCCACTCCAGTGTTCAGCTTGTCTAGGGCTACTGATTGCTGGAGAATGGGATGCTGGGAGGTGATCCTCTGGGACTAGGGTTCCAATATAAGCTTCTCTCTGCCCTTACCTTTCCTAGGCGGCTCCTGAGTTCTCCATCTCCTGTAAGACTCTCAAAACCACTAAAGGCCAGGACCTCTACCATGGCACCCCTCTCTCTGATCACGAGGCCCTCATGGCTACTCTGTATGTGAGCCACAGCCCCCCACAGCAAAACCTCAGCCCTACCCATGGTGAGTCACCCTTACCCTCTCCCTTTGCCCTTCCCCATCTCAAGACAGCTCCTCCACTGACCCTTTTCTGCCTCACAATCCTGCTTGGTTCTAGGACCAGCCCAGAAGTCACCATTGATCAGCCTGCTAAAGAGGACCTGGATGTTGCTGGGGATAAGCACAGCTATAGCTGACTTGTGGGTCACCCTCACAGGCTATGTGATTGGTCTGGGGCTGTTTCTGATGCTTCTCCTGTCAGCAGAAGGGACTAGGGAAGCGGCCCTAGGGCTGTGGCTCAGTATAGGACTACTACTTGGGGCAGTGGCAGTTTACCTCTTCTGGCTGCAGGAGGCCAAAGGCTTATCTCGGGCCCAATCTGAGATCCTGCACATGCTGGAAAGGATACAGAAGACCCAGGACTTGAGCTCAGAGCTTCAACTAGCCGAGCTTCAGCAGGAGGGGGACAGAGCAGAAGAACAATAAAGCTTGACACTTTAGTGCCTCTGCCTTGTTCTTGTAGAGGGATGGGAGCCAAGGTCAATGTGACTGTATCATAGACCTTAGAGCTCTGGCACATTTTCTGCTGTTCCTGCATATTCCCACCTATATGTAGCTTAAACCCCCATTTGTGGCAGAATCATTTGTTTACTCATTCATTGGCAGTTCCGGGGTTTGAACTCAGGGTCTGCTGCTTGCCCTCTTGATCAATGCCTCCAGCCCTTTTGGCTTTAGTTATTATTCAGATAGGGTCTTGAGTTTCTGCCCTGGCTAGCCTGAGACTATGATCCTCCTTACCTACCTACCTATTCCTCCTGCAAAGCTGGGATTACAGATATGTATCACTACGCCTGACTTGTTTGTTAAAATGGAGATATCACTAACTTTTTGCCCAGATTGACCTCAAACCATAACAGAGATCCTCCCAATATCTGTCTCCTGAGTAGCTGGTATTACAGACATGAGCCACTGTGCCCCGCTTGTGGCAGAAACATTTTTACTATAAACAGTGAGGGCCTCTCCAAGGCAGTCCAGATGAGCAGGGGGTAGCGCTGTCCTGGGAAAAGGTTGTCTTGCTTGGAGGGAAGAAGGCAGGGAACTACCAGTCTTCTAGCCCTGGGCCCCTGTCCCAGAGGCCAGCTCGCTGAGCCTGCGTTCCTCCTGGAAACGGATGAGGGCATCCCGCTGGTTCACCACATCCAGCAACTTCCTTAGGACCTGGTCCTCAGCCTGCTGGTCTTCAGCTGTCTTAAGGGTTTCTGAAGGGAGAAGGTGAAGCTTAAAGAACAGGAATCTGGACAGGGAGGCAGGGAGGCTCACCCATTTCCAGTCTGTGTGGTTTCTACAATCTAGACTGCACAATTAAGGTCTGTCCACCCCAGTGGCTTTTAGCATTACTTAGCAGCACCAGTTTTTGAAGGAAATATTGTACAGAATCCCAGTTGCACAGCTCTGATTGAACTAAAGGGAGGGTCAAAGCTTCACAGCCCGATACTCTGGCTTCCTTCCTCGTTGTCTCAGAGATCCAGTGGACTAGAGGACCATGGTGTGGAGTCAGTATTTGAGGTCCCGAGACGGACTACCTACCTTCCCGGTTCATGTAGCCTCGTAGCTCCTGGTCCAGGTGCCATTGCTTCTCCTCCAACTCCAGCTCCTGTACCCTGTGGAGATCAGGGATAGAAAAGGCACAACTCTTCAGGGTGCCCAGAGGGCTGAGGCCCCAGTGGAGGACCACCGTCACCATTCCTGCGCCTTACGTGATCATGAGCTCAGCCTCCTCAGCCACTAGGCTGTTTTTCTTCTGGACGAGTTGTAGCAGCTGTTCTAACCAGAGTTTCTTTTGCTGCTCTGGGGAGCCTAGTGGAAGGAAGAGGGGTGAGAACAGCCATGAGGCCTGCAGCCAGAATCATCGCTTGGGTGGGCGGACAGGCAGAACAACAGCCAGGGGAAGGAGGGTGAGTGTCAGAGCTGTGTGTCACAGACATCAAGCCTGTCTGGGCCAGAGCCTGTTGAGTTGAGGGGTTGCTGGAGGCTGAACACAGTGCCAGGGGCCAGAGGTATCCTCGTTTGTTCCCTCCCAGCTCTACTCACTGCTCTGGCTCCTCAAGGCCAACTCTAGTGTCATGCCCTCGATCTCGAGCTCCCTGAGAGCAGCCTCGATCTCATTTAGTCGTCGCTGGATGGCCTGAGGGGTACAAGACAGAAGGCCCAGGAGTCTGGAGGAACTCTGTTGGCAGACTCAGACCTTTGACCCCATCAGAACAGAGCCTTACCTGTGCCTTGCAGAATCTCTTCATCTCTTCCTCCTTAGCACGGCGAAGCAGAGTCCGGCGCCATGTTGGGTACTTGTTCATGGTGCCTGAGTTCTTGGCCAAGTTCAGTAGAACCTATGGGAGGGTAAGTCCAATCATGGGTAGGGCCTGGCTCCCTGGTGGGTAGGCATGGGGAGCTGTTTGGAAGGCAGAAAAAGAACCTGAGCTGGAAGTGGAATAAGTTCTGCTGGACAAGATGGAGGCTTAGAAACATAGACAAGATGAAAGTCAGACAGGGTGAGGAGACATTCCAAGAGAGTTCAGGGGAGGGCACGGGCTCCAGGTTCTTCTGTGGTGGGGATGAGAGTATCTGCTGTTTGCCTGTTGGTTTGGACAGAGTAGCTGGCTGTTTTCTTGCCACGTACTTCCTCCAAGTCTGTGTCCAAAGGTACAGCTTCCTCATCCCCTTCATCCTCTTCACTGGAAGAGGGATTCTCTTCTTCTTCTCTCCTCATGACATCATGACCTGGGCAGATGAGAGGGAGACACGGCTTGATTTTTTTTTTTTTTTCCTTTGGCGGCACTGGGGTTTGAACATGAGGCCTCACACTTGCTAGGCAGGCACTTTTACCACTCCACCAACCCAAGATATGTCTTGGGTTCCCCACAACCTCTGTTTCTATTCCTCAGAATCCTCTTGCAGGATTTCCAATATGCCAGCCCCACCCCCACTCCCAGTCAGCACATTTGTGGGAGGAGAAATTACCTTGTGATTCAGGGACTGACAGACCCCAGCCTACAAAGCTGCTCTCTAGGGCCTGTCGGGCCAAGGCTAAACAGGTTCGAGGGGGCTTGGGTGGAGGCTCCGTTTCTGAGTCAGTGGTGATGTTAAGGGTGGACAGCCGCAGACGTTCTAGACTGGAGAGACGGATCAGCCGGCGGGTGGACTGCCTGGGGCTTGGGATAGGCAGGGCTGTGGGAGTCGAGGAGTCTGTTGGCATGCTATTCCCCTCTGGTGTGGGGAGCTCCTGGAAAAGCCACCATATGGCCTGGTCACCTGCCCAGTGTGGGATCAAAGCCACCCTTTTGGAGCCAATGTGAGTTCTGGCATTCATTCACTTCACACCATCTAGTGGACATTGTTAGGCAGTATTCTGGGTACTAGGACCAGGCAGTAAGTAGAAGACAAACGTCCTTCCTTTGAAGAGCTTATCGTCCAATGGAGGACAGAATTTACTTACCACTAGCAAAGTCTACTCAGTTGGAGACACCTTTGCTCCTTCCCATGCCTGAACACATGAGCAAATGCATGCATATGGACACAAACACACACACACACACACACACACAGTTTTTACAGGGCTCTCAGGGCCTTCATCGCTGCCATCCTCTTTGTGGCCTGGCTGGGGCAGGTGCTGGAGGCAGTAGAAATGTCCTGGGAAGGGGTAGAAAGGCATCAAGTGTACACAGGCAATCAGAGTTTATCAGGGAAGGAGGCCACAGGACAATGGACTTGAGAGTGAAGATTTCAAGATCAAGAAAAGAAAGTGCTATTTTTCTACCTTGGGTTTAGCACCCCTCTTCCTCCTCACCCCTAAGTTCCTTGCATCCCAAGGTAGGGCCAGGCCCAAAGTCCCTCTAGCAAGCAGCCTTCCAGGCCCACTCACCATCTCCTGGGTGCTGCCCATAGCCACCTGGCCACAGCGTGGCCTCACAGGTATGGCAGCGGAAGCAGTTCCGGTGAAAGAAACGGCCATCTGCACAGAAGCGTTCCAGGATGTAGAGGTGTTCCCCACAAAGTACACACAGGTCTCCAACACCAGCCTGCACAAACCACCAAGACACAGGGTTAGCAGTAATCGAGGCCAGCTGCAAAGTTCTTCCCTTCCCCTAAATTCCTCCTTCCCTATCCTTCCCAGTTCTCTGTCTGCAGACCAGGCCCTGGCTCTCACCTCCTGGTGTTGGGATGGGGGGGTCAGTGGTACACTGGGCTCGGGGACAGGTGGCTCTTCGGTACTTGGAGTCTCAGCCTCCACCTAAGAAGGTAAGTGCTCAGGCAGGATCAGCTGCGGAGTGGATATGTGCAGACAAATAGGAAGGGCTGGAGGGGAAAGGGGGGAGACTAGACAGAGACAGGATGGGGGCTCAGGACCTGGTGTTGAAAGAAGACAACAGAACAGGAAAGGGTAACAGCATGGGGGAGGAGACCATCTGCCCTTGCCTTCACTTACCTGCAAGCGAGGCTTCTTGCCACCAGCATCCTCCCCATTTTCCTACAAGAAGTATGAGTGTAAGGCTCTGAGCGCCAACCCTCTTCTCCCCACGTTTGAAATATCCTCTGCCTCACCCCAGGGACTTTGCTGGGCAACCTGCCCAGGCCCAATTCTATTCAGACTCCCCACCTTGGCCCGGGTCCGCTGTAGGGTCCTCTGGAGTTTGCCAAGGTATAGTACAGCACTGGTGGTCCCTGGAGAGGCTTGGCTGACAGGGCCTGCAGGCAGAGTCCAGATGACAGGGTGACTGAGGGGACAGTACTCAACAGCCACTCTCTAGCCATCATAGAGTGTCTCCCTGGCCATCTCCCTCTCACTTTCCTGGTCTCTCTCTCTCTCTCTCTCTCCTCTCTCTCTCTCTCCCTCTCTCTCTCTCTCTCACACACACACACACACACACACACAGAGAGACAAACATACACACAAACACAAACACACCCCCCTTCATACCCTACCCCTCCACCCTCCAGGTCACCTGGGCTGTGGGGTGTGCTCTTGAAGGCACTGTGGAAGTGGCTGAGGTAGGCGATGAGGCCCAGTGGGTCGGTGCCCGCCACCACTGCCTGTGCAGACAACACAGGCGTGATGCCCAGCTCATTCTCTGCCACTCTCAGTGCCCAGGCAGTCACTTCTAGTGCCTCCATCCCCTGCAGTTCCGAGGGTTCCTGTGGAGTGTCAGGGAAATAAGCCAATAGAACCTGGCCCCAGTGAAGGGGACAGACAGAGGAGGCAAGGGACAACAGGCAGGGACTGGGGGACTGCAAAGGTGAGAGCATGAAGGTTTGTTCTCTGCTCCTTTCCCTTCCCATGACAACTACCACTTCTGACTTTGGGGCCCTGTACCACTCTTGAAACCCTCCTCTGTCTGAATGCACTGGATTCTGTTAACTGTCAGGCAGATGGGCAGTCAGGCAGCAATACCATCTCTAGGGAGAGATGATGACGTGGGTAGGAGGTGGTCAGATTTACTACCTCCTGCATAGCACCATCCCTAATATTCAGGAAGAGAGAAAGGGACAATACAATGGATGCGTGATTTGCTGGGGACCCTGTGCCTCTCCCCAACTCACAGCAGGCCAGGCTGCAGGCGGTGCACCAGGGCACACAGAGCTAGCCCATCAGCCCAGGAGGATGACAAGTCAGTGACATGGACTCCTGGGTACCCAGCCGTCTGCTCCTGGCACCAGCGTAGAAGCTCCTCCTGGGTGTCTGCTGACCCTGGAAGAGAAGGCCGTGCTGTGCCAAAGGCTCTCTCTGCCCCACAACTGATGCACAGCTCAGTTGTGGAGTACAAGGGTCTGTATGGGAGCTGGACTTAGGGTCCCACCAGTCCCAGGACGCTAGCCTAACACTCATTGCCAGCAGCTCCTACATCCCCATTAGCATTTCAGAACCCCTTTTCAGCAAAAAGTTGAGGAATGAATAAAAAGAAATCACTACTAGCCACATAGAGGGCAGAGAGCTGTGGACTGGGAGCCAGGGGGCTCAGAGACTCAAAGGAAAGGCGTATTGGGGTTTGCACAGCTGGCTGGCAGGGGTTGGCAGAACAGCTGGAACCATGCAGCTGCCACCATTTGACAGTGCTTCTGCACAGGGGTGGATCACTACTGACTTACTTCTGCACAGTTGGAAAACAGCTGCTACTTACTTAGGCTCTGATACCCCTTCCTTCCCCAGATGCCCCCAAACTGCCCATCAGATAACAGCACTGTGGCTCTGTCCTGAGGTGCAGGGCTTAGGTTGCCGCCTGTGAACGGCTGGTAAATATTCTGGACATCCCTTGGGAGGCCTGCTTACCTGTGACAGACTTCCCTGCATCTGTCTTGTCACTTTTCCTCCGCACCAGCTCTTTGGCCACCATGTCATATAGGTCTCGTACCTAAGGCAGTCCCTGTCAATCTCAAGGTAGCTGACCACATAGCCCCCGGGCCCATGATGGAGGGGCCCGCTTGTGGTAGGACTGACCCCCCCTAGGGGCAGTCTGAGGAAAGGGGGCTGACTTGGGAAGCCCGGTTGGGGGTGGGGGGTCTCAGGAGGTCTGACCTGATTTGGGGTCACGGCTCGGAGGTTCAGGTTGGGGTAGCGGGTGGCGGGGTCCAGCCCATATTGAGCCACATTGCGGTGCATGTTTTCCGGGGATGTCTGTGACAGAAGCTGGTACAGGCTTTCACTGAGGTGATGATGCGGGGGGCAGGGACACAAATGGGAAGGCACCTCTCAGCATTCACCCCTCAAGAAGTGCCAGCCCTTTCTTGTATGCCCTTTTACCTGTGCCTCCATCTATTCTCCCAGCTCCCCCTGCTCCATCTTCCTCACTCTAAGTCCCAAATCCTGCTCTGCCTGCACCATGCCCCAACTCAGGTCTCACCGTTCAGCCAACACCTCTAGGGGCCCAGTGCCCTCCGCCCACCGCTTCACCATCCAGGCCGCATCAAAGGCTGCCAAGAAGCCCCGGGCTACTCCAGTGCCCAGGGGCCAGAAGGGCTGTAGGGACAGAGAACAGGAAAGAGCTCAGTGTGAATCCAATGAAGTGTCCCAAGCCCAGATATCCCCCAGGTTGAAGGGGACAGGTCCCCTCACCACACCAGGTAGCTTTCTTCTCCACCAAGCAGCCCTTAGCTCCTCCCGCACTGAGCAAACCTTTTTTACCACTACTCCCTATTTGGAAGCTTCCTCTCCCAACCATGGGACCCCCATGGCTCCTGAAGTCCTCACCTCCACTAGGCAGTCCCCCACCAGTCCCAGCAGCAGGCGGGCACCATGCTTCTCTTGCACACGAGCAGAACTTTCCGCTCGCATCATGCTTGTGAAGTCAAAGGCAGAGACGTCAGGCCGCCCATGGGCGTCTTGGGCAAACTCAAGCTTCCCGAGCTTGCCATGTGTGGCAAAATCAGCAGCTGCTCTGGCAAAGCGCTGCAGAGCCTCAGGTACCACATTGGCACTGCCCAGCAGTTGATCAGTCTCTGGACAGTCCTACAGGGCCAAATATCAGAATCTCTGAGGCCTCTGAGAGTAAGGCCACATGGCCAGCCCTGTCCCCTTGGGTGTAGAAATTGTACGGACTGAGGCCCAGAGATGGCAAGTGGCTGCCCCAGACTACACAACAGTTGAAAGCAGACTTGGGACAATTCCAAAAGCCTGCCTCCGATGCTCGGGCCCCTTCCTCAGCATCTACTGTGCTGCTGGGGACCCAGGCCCTGCTCTGCCCAGGAAGCCCAGTATCACTGCTGTCATACACCTGCCCTGAACTTTTCAAAGCCAGTTTGTCCATGTTTAGAGACAACAAGGTATTCAGGAGAATTAGATGAGAAAATGCAAATTAAGCTCTCAACACATAATAGGCATCCAAATAGTTCATTCATCCTGCAAATACATACTGGGTGCTTACTACCCATGAAGCACCATTCCAGGCCCAGGGAACTCGCAGCAAGCAAGAGGCAAAGAGACAAAAGTCCCTGCCTTCATGGAGCTAACATTTGTAGCACTATAGATTTAGCCCAGACTATGAATCCTACTGCCATTTAAACTGTAGAGATCAAGAGCTTTTGGACGTGGAGTTAATGCCAGAGCAGAGCAGGAGAGGGTGTGGTCTCTGTACCCCTAAGGGTAGACCATGTCTAGTGCAGCCCCTCCCTGCCTGGGTCCAGACCCCACCTGGCGCAGCACCCCAAGCCGCAGCAGGCACTGCTTCTTGGCTGTCATCACGAAGTAGTGTGTGTCGTCCTTATAGTACACAATGTTTTCCAGATCAATGCCTGAGGGGGACAAGGAAAGGGACAAGAGATGAGTTCGCTCCTAATGATATGTCCCCTTTCCAAATACCCCAGTCGTGGCTGACCTCTGAGAAATGGAATCACAGCTTAGGATACAGTGACATTCACATATAGAGCCCTAGAGTCCTAGTGGAACAAAGGACCAACTCCCCTAGCCCAGGAGACCTGACAGCTTGGAACAAAGAGGAAAACTTGGAAGAGGTGACAGCTGGGACACTTGTACCACACGGTCACATGGCAGTGTGAAGCTAAAGTAAACATAGGACGTACTCTTGAAATCCACTTGTTTTCAACTTCTGTCATTTTTATATTCTAACATAAAGAAGCACAAAACAAACTCCCAGGCATTTCGGGAGAGATTCCCAGAATTTTTCATGCCAGGTGGGGCTGTGTCTGCTTAGTTCCTGGGGGACAGTTCTTTCCCTTTTGCTGTCAAGATCACAAAGTCGGACAAGTGAAGGGATTATTGAACTAAGTATAGGTCTGGGAGGGATAGGTAGGAGCCAATCCACAGTCAGGCAAGGGGAGAGGAAAACCAGTGAAAGGGGACCCTGACCTGTGGCTTTGAGCAGGCTCTGGAAGAATTTCTGGTTGTAGATACGGGCCACACCACTGATCTCAGGTACCTGTGTCTCCTCCACTGTACGCCCATTCACAAAGTTGACTGTGATGCCAATGGCCAGTTTTCCACGCATTTCTCGAACAGTGAAACCTAGTGATGAGGGTTATAGGGTTACAGAGACGAGGGGCCTAACTTCCTAGAAAGACCCAGGAGGAGCCTAAGATGCTGGGGTTTTTTTTGAGGAAAAGTATCACTCACCTTCAGGAACAAACTTCCCTCCTGCAGCAGAGATGAGGACATCAAATTCATAGTTAGCCAGTTGGGCTGGTGGATTGGGCTGGAGCTGGGCACGCCACCCACTCCCTGGGGTGGAGAGTATGAGAGACACAAAGGTGTAGAAGTCAGAGGGCTATACATTCCCAGGTAAAGCTATCGAAAAAAATTAAAATAATGGATAAAGGATTCTCTGGTTTGGAAAGCAGTGACATGTCTATTTGGTTACACCTTCACAACAGTCAAGGAAGGCAGGTAAGGAAGTCAAAATTATTCCCATTTTGCTGTGCCATTCCCATGGGGTCAGGGAGTTGCCCCATGCTAAGAGAGTTGCCCAGGCCTCACTGTTAGAAAAGGAACAGACTCAGCTAACTCCCGGCCCCACCCCTCTCATCCCCTGGCTAAGATCTCCTTGGTGGGTGGGGGTTCCCAGAAGCACAGAAATACTTACCCTTTCTGGAAGGGGGCTGGACATTAGTGAAAGTGACACCCCAGTGAATTTCAACTCCCAGCAGTAATGCCACCTTCAGTAGAAGCAGCTGAAGCTGTCGGATGCCTGGAAGGGAGAGGACATTAGGAACAGGGACCCAGGGCTACCCAGCCTCCTTGGTGTGTGCCTGGTCAGAGCTGCAGAAGGTCTTACAGCCCAATCCAACAAACTGTCCATTTTACACATGATGAACCTGGGTCTTCAGACTCTCCTGGCTAAGGAGCCATCCTGCCTCTTGGCTGGCCCAGCAACCCCCCACTGGCCTGCCTCTAGGCCCAGGTACACCCACCCTTTCAGGCCACCCAGTGGTACTCACTGATGTGGTCCAATGTGCCGGTGCAGAAGCGCCCGTAGAACTTTTTGGCACCAAGTGCCCGTAGGTCATGGATGGTGAAGGGCCAGAGGTGGAGTACGTTGTGGCGAGAGAACTTGGTGCGTTTTTCCACCAGCACCACACGGGCCCCCAGGAGTGCCAGCTCCACAGCGGTCCTCAGTCCGCAAGGTCCAGCGCCCACCACTAGGCACTGTAAACACACAGGGCAGCGCAGGCATGGCATCCCATCTCCCTTCTTTGACAACCCCCCTCTGCCCCTGTCCCTCCAAGACCCCATTTATTCACCTTGGTGCTTGTGCATGCCTGGCCCTGCTGGTAGACAGGCTGGCTTGCTCTCTTGTCTAACTTAGCCCACAGTGATTTGGCACTCCAATAATTGAGTTGGTCCTTGATCTTGTGGTACTGGGGCAGGCCCCCACCAGGCTCCAACCCCAGGGCCTCACAGAGCCCCTGAAAGCTGCTTAGCACATCTTGGCACAGCTGGGCCTGCAGGAAGCTCTCAAAGTGGGCATGTGCTGGGTTGGTGGAGGTGGGTGAAGCCATGAAGAGCTCCTGGGTAGGGAAACAGCTGGGCAGAGCCTGGTAGCTGTGGAGAGAAAGGGGAAACGAAAGGGGAGGAGGCTGAAGAAGGGGAGGGAGAGATCAGGTTGGTGTTCCAGGGAGCTCTTGTTCCACCTCTGATTGGCTCTGCTCCTGCTCCCCAGCCCACTCCCCTACAAAGATCAGCTCCAAAGACAGTGGCTCTTTAATCAAATGAAAATTGCCAAATTCGGAAGTGAAAACTCAGCAGTCCTGGGCACAGAGGGCACGGGAAGCCTGTCTAGGAATCTCAAAACTATGTGGGACCCCAGGGTCCAAGGGGCAGAAAGTATTAGCCTGCTTCCCCCAGGCCCTGATACTAGTGCACCTGGGTGCTTTCAGCCAAGGAGTGGGCCGGCTGCCAGGAAGGTTTCCCTTCCCTTCCCGTAGAAAGCGAGAGAGCTAAGGTCAGAAAGCACAACACATGTTTACCACCCCATGTCACCCAAGCGTCCGTGTGCCACGCCCCTTGGTAGTCAAAGTGACAAGTTGGTTTTGAGACGTGTCTCATGTCAAGGGCAAACCTTTTTACCTTAGCACTCGTGCTTGCCTCCTAATAGAGGACAGGTTCCACTTCCCACCACCAAAACAACCAGAGGATGTTGCGACTGACTGACTATGTGAAGGAGGCCTGAGTGTATTTCTGACTCACTGTGGTCAAAACACTTCCTCTGTGATGTTGTCGCTGCTTCAGTGGGCGGTGGGGAGGAGAGGGGACAGGGGACAAAAGCAGCTGGGGTCGCTCCTCCAGGACCCCTCTTGCCCCTCTGGACTCCTCCCACCCCAATCCACACCCTGCCCAATCCGCTGTGTGCTCGTGCGTGCTCTCCCTGGAATGAATGTCCCGAGACAAGGCTCCCTTTGTCCCCCTCTCCTTCACTCCAGCCCACACGCAGCTCGCTTGTTGGAGGGGCTTTCTCACGCTGGGGGCGGAAGGGATCCAAGGGTCTGGGGAATGGGGGTTGCATGAGGGGTTAGAGAGGGCGAGGACGGCAGTCGAGGCCGGTCCCCGGGGCTTAGCCCTCACCTCCAGCTGTCCCTTCCTTGCCCGCCGGCCAGCCGCGCCGAGAGAGGAGATTAAGTCTCCCACTGCGGGTCACCAGGGCGAAGGTGGACAGCGCCTCGGAAAGGGCAAAAGTCCCTTTTGGGGGTGGGAGTCACGGGAGCTCTCCACGAGGGGGAGCAAAGAACGAACCTAGCCTGGAAATGCCGGGACAAAGGATGTGCCAAGGATACAGCGGTCTGAAGGGATGGGGAGCTGGATCTGGGGCGAGGGGGCGGGGGTCCCCAGCACCCCGGACCGTGACGTCTGGAGAGGGGCTGGGGAGGGGGCCGCATTTCCCTGGAAGCGCTCCCACCCCGGCCCTGCCCCGCCGGCGCCGCTGCACCACTTACCGCTCCCGAGGCGGAAGCGCGTCCCGGGGCTGGGGCGGAGGAGGGGGTGGCGGAGCGACCGCGGGGCGCTGCCGGTGTTGTCCTGCGGGGTGTGGGCTTGGGCGGGCGCGGCGCCCCGAGAGCTTTATCCGCACTTCAATAGCATCTCCTTAGCACGCGGTCCCCCAGCTCGGGACAGCCACGGACCCGCCCACTCTTGCAGGGTGGCTCCCAAGGGCGTGGCTCCGCAAACACCCGGGTCCTCGGGGCCTCCGAGCCGGACGGCCGTGGGGCGCCGCGGAGCCCCGATCGCGCATCTGCATCCGCGGCCGGGGCGAGGCCCACCGGCCCCCGCGGTGCGACGCCGCCCGCTGCCTCCAAGCCGGAGCCGAGGGCGCTCGGGCTCGGCGAGAACTTGCGTGAGCTGGCGGCTCCGAGGGTGGCGCCGGACGCCCGCGCCCTCACCTCTCCCACCCGGAGGTCGGCAACCCCGGTGTCCCTCGGTGGATCCAATCGCGGGGCCGCCTCCCTGCGACAGGTCTGCGCCTAGACCGGGCCAAGGGTAAAAGCGCTCGACTTAAAGTCCTGGGAACTTGAACTGCAGTTTACAAGTGGGCGGGAAAAGTAAGGGAACCAGGGTGTTTTTTTTTTTTTTCTGGGTGGGGGAAGTGAATGTTAGAACATTACTAAAAAAGGCGGCATGGCAGGGGGTCATACGGGGAGAGGCTCGATATCCAGTGTTCAAGCACTAATTAGAACAAGGATTCCCGAAACTACTAATGCCAAAGGCCTTTGGGATCAATCTCATTTCTTCCTATTTCCCATTTAAAAAAAAAAAAAAGGCAGTGAAGAGACTTATCCAACATCACTCAGCTACTTAGTATTAATAAAACTTTTGTTGGAAGTCATACTGTGAATATTACCTTGACCTCAGTGTTCATGACAGTCCCGTTTTACTGAAAAGGAAACTGAAGGCCACACACAGATCCCATGACCTGCACAGGTTACATAGCAGGTGGCAGAGGTCGTACCTGGGCTCCAACACACCAGTGTTGATTCAACGTGAGAAATGAAGGGCTGACATTAGAAGAAGATGTTTCTTATTTAGAGGATGTGACACTACCACACTAGAAACACTAACATAACCGAGGAATAAATGGCAGGGTCGCTCTCCTTGAGATTCAGAGCCCAGAAAGAGCTAGGGCTCTGTGGCTCTCCTTTTCTCTATTCTCACTCCGCATTTTGTCCAGAGGCCCTCTGAGACCGGTATGTTCAGAACACTCACTGCTTCCAGCTGCAGCTGAGAAGCAGGCAGAGGAGAGAAGCAAGAGGAAATGCCAGCTCTTTGCCAGGAGAGGCCAGGAAATTCAGGCAGTTCTTGCTCTGTAGGACAGCCTCCCAGCTGCTGCGCCCTTTCTAGCTCTTGAATGTGACACATCATTTGGCTTAAAATGAATTCACCAACTATCAAACACACCCATATGTAAACACACAGTGTAAAAACGCTATAAAGTCCACTACAGACCCATAAGCATGCTTTTAAAATCACCCCATTTCCCTTTCTTTAGCAGATGGCAGCAAGCTTCTCCAACTTACTGTTTGTTTGCAAAGGCCCAGTAAGGGCTGGTTGACTCTGACTTTCACTTTGCAGCCATACTGGGTTATGTGGCTCTCTGTACAGCAAACAGTAAAGTTTATTTTTTAAAAAGGATCATGGAACAATAATGAGTTCATCAATGCTTAAAAAAAAAAAAAACCTTCCTGACTTGCAGTTTTTCTTTTTATTGTAAAGACATACACATACACCAGAGCATAGAGCTGTGGGGAATCTGTTGGTCTGGAGTCCAGATGGTCTGGCCAGATTCCAGCTGTGCTTCACTGCAGGCCTAGTGGGAAGGTGAAGCCACCAACCACTACCTTTCTGTCTTCTCATCTCTAAGTGGAGGCAATCTAGTGACTCAACCTTCTTGACCCATTTCAGTTGAGTTCCTGTTCTTCAAGAAATGTAGACTAGAAAAGCCAAAAAAACCTACTTATACAACTCCCTCAAAGAAGAAAATTGACCTTTACTAAAGGTAAAATAATTTATCTACAAGCGGTATATTCCTGTACAACTATAGCCAGTCACATTGGCTAGTTCATATTAGATCAAATAAGAAGCCCACACGTGAAAGTCAGTTTTAAAAGCATCCCATATTTAGGTTATGACAGGATGCCTTAAGATTAAAGGGTCAGGGAGGGCCTTCCCTAATACTCACAGATGAATAGTAGTGAGTCAGACAGTGAAGGCAGACTCCTTTCCAAGCTGAGAAACCACTCCCCCAAGCCTTCGGGCAGGAAAGGGCTGTGTGTTGGGCAACAGATAGGGAAGCCAACATGGCTGGAAGTGAGAAAGGGAAAGAGGGGCCCAACAGGAAACTGCTTTGGGAATTTTATTCTAGTTGTGGTGGGAAGTTGCAGAATTTAAGCAGAGCAGGGACATGATCATATCTGCCTTAATAAACAATGCAAATCTATCCATGTACAGGCATTTTATATGATGCCAAGGGGACAAGGGTGAAGTTCCATGGATCACCAACTCCTGTGGATAAAGGGTGGGGGAAGGGCTAAGACAAGATTAGTCAAGATCTCTGGCAGAGTCCAGGCAAGAGACAAGGTGTACAGGGAGGATGGAAGGAGATGGAGTCACACCTGTGATCCTAGCTATGCAGGAGGCAGAGATCAGAAGGATTGAGGTTTGAAGCCAGCCCAGGCAAATAGCTCCTGAGACCTTATCTAAAAAAAAAGTCCATCACAAAAAAGGGCTGGTGGAGTGGCTCAAGGTGTAGGCCCTGGGTTCAAGCCACACACACACAAACCTATACATTTATATTAAACTGATGTAACTTGCTGATGGATTGCTGTGTGTGTGTGTGTGAAGCCACATCAAGAATCACTCCCGGTGTTTTCTCTTGGATTAAGAGTGGGTGAATCCCAAACAAATTTGCGGCCTTCATTCTTTCCTAAGCTTGCCTCCAGCGTTATCCCTCTGTAAGTTGCTTTTTTACTCAATACCTTTTCTAGGAGTCAGTGCATGTTTTCATAGATTCCACCCTACCCTGAGGCTGCCAAAGCTAAAAATACAACTAGGTTCAGGATGGTTTAAATACTTGCCTGTATCTTGAGGCTGCTTTTGCTCTCTAAACACTAAGAAGCAACTTAATGATAAAAATTACCTGAGGTAGATTTTTTAAAGGTAGTTTGGTTTTTAACACTAATTAAGTCAAAGGAAGCTTCAGTTTTTCACTTAATGTATAAAAATAATTTGAACTAAAATCAAGAGCCAGATTATTTAGGAAAATCTTCAAATTCATAAAGTGATACATATGGATATTAAGAATTCAAAATAAATAATAAATCCATGCTTTAAGATGCAAAAAATTACGTTCTGCCCATGTGCAAAGTTTTTTCTTCTTCTCACACTTCACACTGAATATAGCATCACTTTTTAAGACTCATTAAAAAGTTAGGATTCCTTGCTATGTTACCTAAATGTGATCAAGTTCCTACATTTTGTTAAAAATGTGACTGATCTTTAGTTTAAAGCTCTCTAACGTGGCACATTTCAAGTGTGAAAGACATTTATCAAAAGTTACCAAACTTTGTTGCTTAATTATGTGGAAAGAATCTGAAAGCAATATAAACTATAACAGTGGTATCCCAGCTTAGTTTAGAGATCACTCCTAAGCACAAAAGGCAGGCAAGGGGCATTTTTTAGGGGTCATTCCTACTTTCAAAAACAAGACAGGGTTTTCCTTCAGTTCCTAAGAGTTTAGGCCTAAATTTGGAAACAAAGGACAAAAACTTACTTTACTACTTATGAAACAAATCTGTTCTAAAATTAAAATAGCCTCAGAAAAAGCTTGGAAAAAGTACTTTGAGAGGTTCATGTTAGCTAAGTCATTTTTACCTAATAGTAAACTTCCAACCATATGGTAAATGCTGATTAAGTTTTAAATCAATAGTAGTGAAATATTACCATGAGTATTACTAAAATGGTAATCAATTTTTTTTGTAGAAGACACACTACAACTTCCACTTGTATGCAAAATATTTGACTATATGCTAAACTTTCAGACATAGACCCTCCTTTTATTCTAAATGCATCTGATGAAACAGTATAGTGAGTTTAGCTAAGTTTATGCTCCAGTTCTGGCTCTGTTGCTTACTTTATGACCTTGGGCAATAGACATCATCTCTTTGGGTGTCAGTGTTCTCATCTGTAAAATAGATATAATAACAGCAATGTTACTTACCTCACAGGAATGTCATGAAGATTAAGGCTTGATCAAGTAGATTATAGGTGTGTACCAAGGACTGAATTGTGTTCTCCTAACTCCAAATTCATGCTGCAACTCTAACCCTAGTACCTAAGTATGGGACTGTATTTGAAGACAGGGCCTTTAAGGAGGTATAAAGTTACAAATTAGGCTATTAGGGTGGGCTGACACCAATATGATGGGTGTCTTTATGACAAGAGGAAATTGGGACAGAGTCAGGCAGAGGGAAGACCATGCGAAGGCAAAGGGAAAAAGCCATCTCTAAGCCTCCAAGCTGAGGAGAGAGGTCTCAGAAGAAACCAGTCTTCTGACACCTTGACCTCGGATTTCTAATCCCCCAAGTGTGAGACAATAAACTTCTGTTGTTTAAGTATTGAGTCTGTGGTACCTGTTACGGCAGCCCTAGTAAACTAACACATCAGACACGGCCAGATGGAACTGGAGTCCTCACATCACAAGGTGCCTTATAAATTCTGTTTCTTTTGTGGCACAACATGGAAAAGGTTTGAGAAGCAGTAAGACACGATACAGACCTAACACCTGGCTTCACTGCTGGTCTGTAGTAGACTCCATGTGGCAGCTATGAGTTCTCCAATTTATGAAAACCTAAACGTAAACATTTATAATAAGAATCATCCTGCATTCCTCAGCATAATTTACCCTGCTGCTCACAGGATCTACAACACAGAACCAACTGTACAAAATACACACAGGAGAGGCAGAAAAAGGACTTTTGAGAAACACTGGGCAAGCACATGAATGATATTCTCAGAGTAAGAATGTGAGTCTTCCCAGGGCAACCCTCTAAGAGAAAACAGAAGATTCATTCACCTTCAAAGTGAGGTGCGTTTTAGTAGCCCCAAAGCAGGATACCCTATTTCCTAAGAAATGCACTTTGTATTTCTGTACTTGTTAAAACAATTTTTAAAACTGCACATATTTAGTACAAAATGAACTGTGAAATATACCACCAGTCATATACTTTTTCAAGGACTGATGAGAAGCATTTTCATGTACATTTTCTTTGAGTATAGAATTTACTGAACTTTAAAAAAGGGACTTCATTCAAAGAAGCAGACTGTCTATTTGGGACACACAGGCAGACTAGAGTGTCCCAAAAAAACATTCTGTTTTTCCTCTGACAGTTGCTCAGATCATCTAGTTATGGCTGGGACTGGATCCCACACTAGAGACAGACAAGGCCTGTACCACCCACCACAAGAGCCACTATCCATCTGTGGCTGTGAGCACTCACAATGTGGCCACTGCAACTGAGGAACTGCATTTTAACTTTAATTAATTTTAATAAGTTTAAAAACTGACACAAGTTTTAGTTATTGAAAAAATTCATGTCTGTGCTACTTGATCTATGAATCAGAGCTTCCAACCATATGAAAATCTAAATACAGAGCAAGTACTGTCCAAGGGACATTAGCATCCAAAGGAGACATGCAGCAAATGTAACTAACTATACACCAGATTTTAAGGACTTAGTATGAAAAGGATGCTGTCAAATATCTCATTAATATATTTTTTATTAATTACATGCTGAGATATTTGCAAATATTAGGTTAAACTATTTTATTAAATTAATTTCACCTATTTCTGCATTTTAAAATGTGGCTGCTAGAAAATTTTAATTATTTATCTAATGTTAAATTTCTCTTAATGCAGAGGTAGACTATTATAAATTAAAAACTTGAAATAATAGTTAAGGAAGATATAACGGTATTTGTTAAAATTTTACCTTTGTTCCAGTTAGGCCCAGTTTATTACTTTGGTTGATGCATATAAGATATACATTCTCTTGAAATTTTGTGAATTACAAATAAAAATACAACTTGACAATATGCAACAAAATATTTTCATCTCTAATAGAGAAATCTGAAGAATTATATATTACTTTAAGCTTTAAAGAACTTACTGGGTGGAACTAAAGGATGTCTAAAACAAGGAAATGACTGTTGGAGGTGTGGCTCAAGTGGTAAAGTGCTTGCCTAGTAAGCACAAGATCATGAGTTCAAACTTCACCAGTGCTAAAAAAAAAAAAAAAAGGAAAGAAAAGAAAAAAACCCCAAGAAAACCGCTGATATAAAGACCATATTAATTTGAAACCTACTTTCTACCACCACTGTTACCTGAGATACGCTAGCAACCACGCTCTTTTCTAAAATATCCCCTCTACCAGTTTCTGTAAGAAAAAGCAGTTGAAGAATTCAATACACGGAACTTGAAAACATGACCCAAACATAATTTAATCTTTTGATAATCATTTAAAACCTCACAATTATAGACATATGCTAGCTATTAAGTCTCTGAGGCTCAAAATTATTTTTAAGATTAGGAAAAGATATTTGCTTTTAAAAATTATGTGTGGGATTTAACTTAGCCTGCAATAAAAATAGATGATAGCAAATTTCAATCTCCAAAAAGTCATCAGATACAGTACAAATCAGTATTTTCAGGGATTAATTATAATTCAATAGAGTATATTTAACACAAGTCATAGTGAACAAAATTTTATGTTCTAGGATAATTAAGACGACTTTAACTTCATGCTCAAGTATCATGCCTAATAAAATTCAGTTTTATTTTGGTTGAATGTTCAGATCCACTTTCATATTTTTACTGAACTTTTAATTAAAATTTCAGTGGCCTGCTTTTTTTTTTTCTGTGGTACTGGAGTTTGAACTCAGGGCTTTGTGCTCGCTAGGCAGGCACTCTACCACTTGAGTCACACTTTCAGTCAACAGCCTACATTTAAAAAAATATGTATATCCATGCTTTGCAGAAACATTGAATTCAGAATTTAAAAGAAGTATATTTTTGGTTTTCCTGTTTTTTCAACTTTGAGCTGACTATAGTTCCTATGGGTTTGAATCTACCTTAAGCATGACATGATTAGTCCACTGCAGCATACAAAGATGAAATGTCAAAAGATACCTTTTTAGGGATTAGAAGTTATTAAAAATCTCTTAAATGTTGTGAACTGTCATAGGTGCCCTAACATATCTCAGACTGGCCACTGTGCTGCCCAAGAGAAATAAAGAAGTAGAACCAACCACTGTCGCCAATTCAACCAACACATGACTTCCTTTGTTCTAAAAAATGTAACTGTAAAGGTCAAGATGACAACCCATGGCTGGGAATCTTTAATACTTACCAAAAAGTCTAAATCAATGCCTTCAAAGAAAAATCAAACACTGCCCTAGTCTTTGAGATACAGTAGATGAAAATAAAAACCGCTCATCAATATTGAAATGCTAAATACAAATAAGTACTGCACACACACACACACACGCACGCACGCACGCTTCACTGTACCAACAGAGCATATTATAAATGTCTTCTGGCTATGACATCCACATAAGGATCTGTAAGGTGGTGTGCTAGAGAGCTTGACTCTAAGCATTTGCCATCTTGTTCTAGCTGGCTCAGGCGAGGCTCCTGAGGAGCAGTCAAACATGTTCCCAGCTCAGCTCTGCTCCTGGCCAAGTGGTGTTGGCTGGGGCACGTGGTGAGTGGGTGGAGGCGGGTCAGGCTCCTGTGTCAGCTGCAGGTGCTGAGCTGGATCTGAAGCACTTGCTGCTAGACGGAGCTCCTCTGTTTGCTCTTGGTGGGCATGAAGCTGTTCCAGGGTTTCCTTAGACAGTGTAATTACGTGCACTGGCTCGGTCTGTGAGGGCTCCATCTGGCTTTCAATCATATTGAGGCTCTGAATGTGCTCTGTGTGCTCCTGCTGAGCTGAAAGAATTAAATTCTGCAGTTGCCCTGGCTGCTGCGTGAGCAGGGTGAGATTGGCAGCCTGGTCTGAGGTCATGTTCTGGGAACTCTCAGCAGCCACAATGCTGATTCCCTGGGTAGGCCCTGGCATGAAATTGATGTTATGCACAGAATCAGTTACGAGAAGCTGAATCTCCTGCTCTCCAGAAGTAGAGAGCTGGTAGGGCTGTAGCTGAAGAATATTTCTGACCTCTTCAGCATTGCTACTGCCGGAAACGCTGCTGGCATCTGATGTGTGTTTCTCCTTGCTGTGGATTTTCAAGTGGGCTTTCAAGTTGTCCAGGCGAGCAAACTGTAAGCTACACTCAGGGCAGGAAAAAGGCTTTTTGCCCGTGTGGAGAATGCAGTGTCTCCTCTTGGCACTGGAGTCAGAGAAGGATTTGCCACATATGCTGCAAGAATATGGCTTTTCTCCTCTACAAGGAAACACACGTTTTATTTCAAAACGAGAAATACCTACTCATTACTTCCGGGTTACTTTCTGGACGCTTAGGGAGCAGTGATCAAGAATGAAGGAAAATTGACTAGACTGAGTCGTAAGTCATGAATTCTCCTATTAGTGCCAGGACTTGGAACAAGTCACACTGTCATGGGCTTCTGTTTCTAATCTTAAAAATTAAAAAAGGGTTAAAGAAATTAAAAAGGTAAAGGCATTGTGCTTGAGGAAGAGTGGCAGATGGGGTGGGGTTACATGTGATGAAATTTTATGATTCTACAGAATGTATTTCAGGTAAGAAAGCAAAATTACACACTATACAAGCAGTTCTTTTTTTGTTTTGTTTTTGACTCTAATGGCCAAAACAGGTATATATGACTAATATCAGTACTTAAAACTTAAGCAGTTCCTGATTATTTGTGAAGCTGTTAAAAAATACCTTCCAACCTGGAAGTAATTTTTGTGAACAAAACATCTACTCAGAAAGTATTAAATGCTTTTTCTTTCTTTGGAGACAGGGTCTCACTATGTAGCCCAGCTGGTCTCAAATTCTCCATCGTCCTGCTCAGCTTCCTGCTGGGATTACAGGCGTGCATCACCACATTAGTAAGTATTAAAATTTTCTAGCTCCAGGAAATATTAAGACTTATTTTTGACTGAAGATTTAAGTTGGGACCAACCCCTAACCCAAAATAAAAATTTAATAATGAAATCAACAAAGCAAATTTTTACTGGCTAGAATCAGTATTGGTGATTTTGCCTAAGTGAGAAATTTCATTATTTGAGAAGATAAAATGAAATAATAAACTACACAGAGAACTGTATCAGAGTAACAACTTGGGGAAAGATTATATGGATAACACATGTCACCGCCCCCTCAACTCCACAGCTGAGGGAGGCCTCCAGCTGAGAAAAGTATCTGCAATACTTTACCGATGAATTCTGATGTGGGTCTGAAGAGAACTCTTCGCTGTGAAAGATTTGCCACAGATTTCACAAGTAAATGGCTTCTCACCTAAAAAAAGGAAAGCCTTTAGAGATACATATTCAATATTTCAAAAAAAAGAATCGAACCCAGACCGCTAGCTTCAGAGTCCCCCTACCCAATCCGTGTGAGCCACTGAAGCCCTAGCAAGTGGCTCCCCTGCACAAAGAGAGAGGTTGCCAAGGAAGCAGGGTGGCTCCTTTCCTTGAGTGTGTGTGTGTGTGTGTGTAACCCTATCCCGGGGTGGGTGTGTGTGTGTAAGTAATCTGTATTGTGCCCCCACTCCGTACCCAAACCTCCTAGAGCTCATCTCAACAAGCCCCCAGGCCAACTCCCTCTATTCGCTGCTGTTCTGCCACTGAGGCTTTGTCACCTGCTCAGCATTCCTTAGTCCACCCCAATTTAGATTTTCCACAATGCTATCACCAGCTCTTTATCATATGTTGTATTAGATTATCTCTCCCTCTTATGTAAGATAATTTGTACTTCAGCTTCCTGCTGGGATTACAGGCGTGCACCACCACATTAATAAGTATTAAAATCTTCTAGCTCCAGAAAATATTAAGACTTATTTTTGACTAAAGATTTAAGTTGGGACCGACTCCTAACCCCAAATAAAAATTTAATAATGAAATCAACAAAGCAAATTTTTGTTTTGTTCCTAGTGCCTCAGTTCCTAGCATCTGGCCTGGTACAGTGTTCCAAAAAATCCCTTATTGGATGAATGACTTTCTCAGGCATAGGCTAAAGCTCACATGCAACCATCTGATTGCTCAGACTATGCTTCATTAACATCGACAAGCGTTTATTCAGTGTTCGTTTGCACACTGCACATACAATACTGTCCATGCCCTCTAGAAACAAATTAAGTGACCCTAATGAGAGGAGGGGAGTATGAATTAAAAAAAAAACAAAACAAAATTCTGCTTAGCTAGAAAACAGCAAGGGCCAAGTTCAATTTGAAGTGGAGGGTCAGTGAACTTCCCTTTCAGGCTCCATCTAGGCACAGGGCCCCTGTAACAACTTGTATGAGTCTCAGTCTTCACATCATGAACTCTTGCCACTCCAAAGGTTAAGACCAGGCTGCTTTCTAAATCAGAGGTGGGCACGACTCTGATCTTGGTTGGTTTTCAACCTCTCCCAATTCAAAGAATGAACACCTGCTCTGGTTGCTTGAGATTATGAAGTTCTGTGGTGGAAACACATGCAACAATGTCAAGTTTATCATTCAATTCCAACTGGTTTATGTCTCAGAAAGTGGCAAATGCTATTTTTTTAAAGTAACTGCTTAAAATAATAGGAATTCTTCCTAGGAACAACATCCTGCTGCTAAAGTCTTCAGAGGAATAAATGGGACAGAAAGAAGACAACTTTTCCCAGACAATTGCACAAACCATCTTAGTCCAATTTGTGTTGCTCTAACAGAATACTTGAGATTAGAGAATTTATAAAGAATTCACTTCTCATAGTCTGGAGAGGGGTAAATTAAGGTCAAGAAACTGACATCTAGTGAGGGACTTCTTGCTGTGTCATCTCATGGCAAAAGGTGGAAATAAAGAACACTTGAGAGAGAGAGAAGGGAAGGGGGCTATACTCATCTTTTTATCAGGAATCCACTCTGGTGATAATGACATTTCTTATTCACGAGGGTCCTACCTCTTTACTTCATTGCATCAGCTATTAAGTTTCCAACACATGAACTTTGTGGAACACATTCAAACCTTAGCATTGACCAAAGTTTTCCAACTGCCCAGTTTCTGAATTGTCTCACTGTGTACAGCTTTACCCCCTCCAACTGAGTGACCCATTTCTCTTTAAGTTTATTCAGCTCTTGAAATACTGATGCACCATCAACAAAGTCCAGAGGTAAGAAACAGAAAAGAAACAAAAGAAATGGAGCCGGGCACCAGTGTTTCACGCCTGTAATCCTAGCTACTCAGGACCCAGAGATCATGAGGATTGTGGTTTGAAGCCAGCCCGGGCAAATAGTTCTCAAGACTCTATCTTGAAAAAACCCATCACAGAAAAGGGCTGGTGGAGTGGCTCAAGATATAGGCTCTGAGTTCAAACCCCAATGCCGCAAACAAACAGACAAACAAAAACAACTGCCTGAACAACCATGAGGCCCTGAGTTCAAACTCCAGGATGCAAAATATGTAAGTAAATAAATAAGCTTTTTTTAAAAAAGAAGAGAGATGATCACTGCCACAAAAAAGTCTATTTGAGAAGACAACATGGGATTGTGTTGATTAAACACTTTCAGCAGACTGATCACATTCACAAGTAGAAGAAAATAAGCCTGTGAATGATGGGAAGGGTGGACTAGAGGCAGGAGTTCCTGTGACACACAAGGCGCTAAGGCCTGGACCAGGAGGTGGCAGAAAGCAGATGGAGAGGAAGGACAAAATGTAAGATGACAGGGCTTGAGTGACATAGGACCAGAAGACAGTTTGTTAACAAAAGAATTAGATAATAGCAATTGAAGGTAATGGCAGAGACACAAAAGGCTCCTCCAAGAGGACTTCTGAAAAACTACCTACAAAGCTTCAGGGTGTCCTTCCAGGGCCTATTCTCAGCAACCCACTCCACTGCCCCCAACTCGAGGACTTGTAAATCCAGGCCCTGGCTCCAGGTAGGAGTGCTGCTGATTGTTGGGCATCACAGCAGATTTGCTCTCAGTGTCCAGGCAAACCCAGAATGACTTTCTTGGTGACTGCTGACCAAGCATGACAGTTACAGTGATGCCTCCAGTTCTTTGCTTCTATGTTTAACTAGTAATCCAGTTCTGCACATTTTTATTCCTAAAAATCCTGCCTGCCACTGTGGAACACAACCTTGTTTTTCTTTAAAAAAATTACTCATGTTCATTATAAAATAATACTGAAAACACAAAGTACACATGAACTGCTCCATGTTCTCCCTCCTTGAGGCTCATCAGTTAACACTGTGTTGAGCACCTGTACGTAACAAATCTGTTGGTGTGTATACAGTTCCCACGTGAGACTACCCAGTCAGTGCAGGCTGTTCTATCCTGTCAAGAAAAGCCACATCACCACTTAAGAAGGTCAGTCCCACATATTTTCTAAAATTTACCCACCTAATCCCTTACTGATGGAGATTCACAATGTTTTCAATCTTGTGACAATATAACCAATCCTGCCTATGATGAAAATCCTTATGCAAACATCTTTTCACAAATGGAAAATTAGCACTTTGACAAATATTGCCAAGGTTCTTTCCAGAAGGTTTCCAAATGATATTCCCACCAACAGCACATGTTTATTTCTGGGCAGGGGATGTAGCTCAGTGGTAGAGCACTTGCCTAGCCTATGTGAGACCATGGGTTCCAAAGCCAGCACTGCAAAAAAAAAAAGTCCATTCCCTCACATACTTGCCATCTAATGGACAAAACACCATGGACATTCCTACTTCTTTGATGATTAATGATGCTAACATGGTTGTATAGCTGTTTACCTGCTGTTCCTATGTTACCCTCAGTGAAATGCCTCTCATGTCTCCTGCCTAGTTTCCTTTTGGAGCACTCACCTTTCTTATTTGGAATACAAATACTCTGTCATGTATGCAGCAACTAAAAATCTCCTAAATATACCTCTTCATTTCATTCTCTTGACCTGATAGCCTTCAGCTCTCTTGCCTAAAGGTCTACTAACGGGCTCATTCCTAGGCCATTCCTTCTTTGCCCATCCTCCCAGGGTTGTCTGAGTCCTTTTCAAGATACAAATCAAAGTAAAAGTTTACCTGCTTGAAAGTTACCCCCCAGTGCCTGCCTTTGGTGGTATGTACCACTGTCCAGCAGCCCCATCCCACCTGTTCTCTGTGGAACTCCTTAGTGCACCCCTCAAATGCCAGGCCCTCATATCCTCAAGCTGATCCCTGCTTCTGCCTGGGGATGCCTCCTCTTGCTTCCTCTGTCTTCCAGAGCTTGTGCTGGCTTCCTGATCCAGGTCCTCCATCTGAATACTTTCCTAGGCCTCTGGGGAACGTGACCCATCCCCCTCTCTGTGGCTCCATCATGCTGTGCTGAGATTCTCAACAGATGGCATGTAGACTCTGCCAGGGAGTGCTGTGGTACAGGGCCCCAGCTCTAGACACAGACTGATGGACTGTCTTAACACAGATGAGGAGATTCAGGATACTTCAAATCCAATCCAAGGAAATGAGGCTGAGAATGAACTGTGACTTCATGAACTGTATTATATGTGACAGGGAGGGGCTAGTCCACATGTGGAGTGGGAACCGAGACATGGATGCTAGAGGATGGGACCATACTGCGGGATCACTCACCAGGCTTCTGCATGGTCTGGGCTAGTCCCCTTGACATACTCCAGCTTACCAAGCAATATTCTGATCACTATCTAGCTTTCAAAAACACTAACGCCAGAAAGGCAGTACTGTGGGGAATAGAAAGGTGTAGCTCCTTATTAGTCTTCTGAGTTTACTTAGCTTGACTCAGTCCCCAATAGCCTGACAAGCTCCAGGTATAGGAAAAAGATCCAAGCACAAAGACCTGAGCCACACCGACACCCTCCCACACCTGCTTCCATTTCCCTCCTTGAGTATTAGCCTCTTAGTGAACATGGCCTCTCTAATTTGTGTTTGATTTCTCTAGTGCTCTTCTACAGCGTGTCACCAACAGAGTTTGCACCTAAAGAGCTAAGAGACGAATGATGGATGATGCCTCTACCATTACAATCCATGCTTTATGTGCTGGCCCAAGATAAGCAATGGGCAAACCATTACCTTTCAACACAACATCAGACAGCTTCTCTGGGCTGGGTAAAAGGAACAGATGGGTTACAGTCCCTGACCTAGAAGAACTCCAAGTTTTTGATGAGTTCAGTTTTTTCTCTTATTTCTAAGTTATAACCACTTTACTACTTTTTAACCCATCACACACTGCCCATTTTCAACCAAGAAGGGCTTGCTGGAATTGTAGGGGAGGGGCCTCTGTTCCTTTCATCCCCCCTTCAAGGCCATCCTGCTCCCAGAACCAGAGCCTCACTCACCTGACATTCAAGGTGAAGTGTCCCTCCTCTGGCACTGCTCAACATGACTAGGCCACCTGAGCCCTGCTCCGTCTGGTTTCCCTGGGGCCTCTACAGGAGCCTCAAATACTATTTGCAGGCTTGTGCAAGTGTGAACATACAGCTGTGCCTTCATCCTTCCCCTGACCACTACCTACTCAGCTCCTGCACCCAGATGTCAAACTGACCTGACTCAGACCCAAAGCAACCACAAACTCACTCCTAGTTTATCCTCCAAGTCTTCCCTAGTTTTTCCTCCTTCCAGCTGCTTTTGCCTCTTCCTTCTCTCAGCCCCACACTTAATCATGAGCACAGCACACTGACTCTTCCCCAGAACCTGACCACAACTGACTCTTTTGCTGCCATGTCCACTGCTATGGCACCATGATATGGCCCCTGATCATGACAATGGCCTTTTAATGGGTCCCTCTGTCTCCAGCCTTGTCTCACACTGCCCCACACGAAAGGACCCTATTAAAACTAAAAGTCAGGCTATATCCCTCCTCTAGGAAAAGCTAAGTCTTCACCATGGCCTCCAAGTGCTTAAGCCTGCATGCACATGGGAATCACTTCTGAGGCTCTACCCAGGTAAAACCTTGGGGATTAGAACCACTTTTTTTTTTAAGCTTCTCAGATGATTGAATTGTACAGCTAAACTAGTAATATTTGTACTACAAGGACTCCAGCTGTCCCTGATGTCTGTTTACACCAGTTCCTCCTACTTGCAGCATCCCTGCTCTGCCTTGGCCACTCCTGCACTTCTCCAGCATGTCAGAAACATTCTTGTCTTGGGGCTTTGTAACTGGCGTCCCCTGGTCCAGGACCCTCTGCCCTGGATGTCCACAATGACTAACTTGCTTCCCACCATATTCTGTGCTCCATTTAAGAGGTGTCCCATCCATGAGTCCTTCCCAGGAGCATCTCACATACAGAGCAACTCCCCTCTCCCCTTTCTGTGCTGTTTCCTTACTCTACTTTATTTCTTCATGGCATTCACCATTGCCTAATTTATTACCTACTCGCCTGTTCTCTGTCTCCCTGTTCAAATGCTGGCCCCTCCCCAGCAGAAACACTGGCCCCTCGTTCTCTGCTGTGTCCTTAGGATATACAGAAACTGATCAGTGCACATGTGTTGGATGAATGAATAAAATTTCACAAGAACCCATTAATGATAATATCTGTAGAAAGACTATAGAGACCATTTTCATAAAACTCATACCCTCTGAGATAATTTCCTGACTTTAAGAAAAACTGGTACTGGTATAATGTCTGAAATACCAGAAATTAGAAGTGTTTTGGATTTTTTTCAGATTTTAAAACATTTGCATATACATAATGAAATATTTGGATGAGAATGAAGTCTACATACAGAGTTCATTTATGTTTCCTATAAACTTTATGCGTGTAGCCTGAGGTAATTTCACACAGTATGTCTAGTGTGCCTGCTTTGTGGCTATGATCTACACGATCACATGACGCCAAGTACTGTGGTGTCACATCAGCACTCAAAGTTTGGGAATTTGGAGCATTTTGGATTTTGGACTAGAGATATTCAACCTGCATTTAGAAAACAAAGTCCAACGTACCATAAACCACTTTAATAAATACTTTTAGTATGCAAGAGAATCATTAAATATTTAACCTACAATGGAAAGTTTTTCTTGGAAAAATTGAATAGGTTTATTTTTAATGTGTGCCCCTTACCAAAAGGTGAAAGAGCATCATACTTTTACTTTTCTGATCGTAAATGAAAAAAATGTGACTTGCCCTAATCAATCCTGCCTCCTCTTTAGCCCTGCAGCCGTTTTTTTCTGGAGGTGTCAAGAGGAGAGACAGTGGAGAATTCTCAGCATCCATGCTACCTTGTCTGTTTTACTTTGCTTTCCTTTCTAACAAATTACCTCACTTATCTCCAGTGCTGAAGTAAACTAAGAATGAAACACAGAACCAGACTGAGACCTGTACTATTCTGTGGAATTAAATGAATTTTCTCATATGAATAGCTTAGCCGACCTACAAAGAGATGTGATATCCCCAGAACAGAGTGCTGACAGCACCCTGCTTTGGGCTTTCAAATGATCTACTTATAAAACCTGCACCAAATTTGCAATAAACATTCCCAAACACAGGCTGAGGAGGGAACCCGGAACATTATTTTTCACTCTGCTGAAACATCAAATGTATGAAGGAAGACAGGTGAGGGAAGGTGTTACCTGTGTGCGTTCGTAGATGTTTCTTTAGCTGAGACACATCCATGAATTTGCGATGGCAGTGGTTGCATTCCGGCAATGAGTGGCCTTGTCGCAACAATAAAAAAAGTGTCAGTGCATATATGCTCTCCCTGCATTTCTTCAGTGATTTGTGTTAAAGCACTCCCCTGAAAAATAATCACTTTAAATATGGTACTTTAACAATAACAAAAAAAATTAATTTGGTAACAGTTAACATCGCCCTACTCACTGTTTCCCTAAAAGAGCTGGACCCTCCTCATCCCACTAAAGGTAATCGTGTTCCTTCTGGGCACCGTGTGACTGCCAGCTGATACTGAATAATGCTCCCAACACCCCATCATTTGGCAGGAAAGAGAATAACCAGGTGGGAGAAAGCCTGGACCGACAGAAATAGGACATGATGTTTCTGTCTAGGCACCCTAACAATCAATCAACTAAAGCCCTCTTGAGCAAGTGGCACTTTTGAAAGACACCAATTCTGTGGGATTTCTGTGTGTGACACTAAAACTATGGCACGAAAATTAAATTTAAACTACATTAGTGGAGAATAACAGTCTCTTTAGACATTTTTCCCTAAATACCCATTTATCTTCTGGAATATGAACTTAATGTCTCAGAAACACTCTAGAAATATTTTTTTTTTCTCTTTTGGTGGGACTGAGGTTTGAATTTAGGGCTTCACGCTTGCAAAGCAGCCGCTCTACCACTTAAGCCACTCCTCCAGTCCTCAGAAGCACTTTGCATTTCCATTTCTTCCCCACCAATCCCAATTTTCTCTTACTTTATTGTTACTGTACCTGTATGAACTCGGTAATGGCTCTTCAGTTGTCTTTTCTGGCTGAAATACTTTCCACACTGATCACAGGTAAAAGACTTCTGTCCTGCTGAATAAAAGAAAACACTTAAACCATACCAAAAACTGTAGTGAACCAGACTGCTCACTAATAAGGTAAATAATGCAGTAGGCCCAGGTTCCCACTGTCTACAAATAACACACACCCAAAGTCCTTGGTAGTGGTGTGGGGCAATCCGGGATGGTGGAGACTGGGGAGTGATCCTCCAAAACATTCAAAGTAAGATACTTCTAAGCTGTACTGGTTAAGTAAGACATGTTCATACACTGAACTCGCAGCATCAGTGAATAATGTGAGCTAAGGCTCAGTTCTGTGCTGAACTCTGAACTGCAGTGACAGATGCATAATCCTGTCTTTCAATGACACCATGTGGGAAATGACACCAAGCTGAGAAAACCATTTAGATCCTGAAAATGCCCACCCTGGGGAATAGGAATCTGGGGGCAGGTGGCCCTCTGGTGCAAGACTCCCCCCACCTGAGTGCAGGCTCATGTGCTCCAGCAGCGAGTGTTTTGTGGTCAGAGCCTTGCTGCACACGGTGCAGGTATACGGCCGCTCGCCTGTGTGCATCCTGGTGTGGACCTGCAGGGAGTGTTTCTGTGCAAAGCCTTTTCCACACTCGGTGCATTTGAAGGGTCGCTCCCCTGCAATCAGAGCCCAATTAAAATATGCAATATTAAATAATCAAAACTATTAAAATATTTACGAATTTCTCCTAAAGGGGACACATGCAGAGGCCAATGGCAGGAGAGAGAACATCTGCAACAGAAGTTTGGAAGAAGGAACAGATGACTCCAAAGCCAGCAGTGAGGAGCAATGAGCCAAATTTTTTTTTTGTTTTCGACAGGTTTTTGTTCTGGGGTTTGAACTCAGGGCTGTGTGCTACCACTTGAGCCATGCCTCCAGTACATGTTGGTCTGGTTATTTTGGAGATGGAGCCTCACGAACTATTTTCCCAGGCTGGCCTCAAACTTCGATATTCCCAATCTTGGGCTCCCAAGTAGCTAAGATTATAGGCATGAGTCACTGGCACCTGGCTTACAACCTAATTTTCAATACAGAGCCTCCAAAAGGTTCAGAAATTGGTGGCACCTGCAATCTCTGAAAGTAGGGATGAGGAAGGGCAAAGGATAGTCTGTTTTAAAGGTATTTAGACCCCCCCAGACCCAGCTTCCCATTCCACACAGTCAGCAGAGGTCCCTCTTCCGATAGAAGATGGTAATAAAAGAAAGGGTCTCTGGATCAGGAGTTGACAGGCCACAGCAGAGTAGGACCTCTACAGGGAGACAAGGTCAAAGTCTACCAACCCCCCCTCCACCACCACCTCCAATCCCTTGCATGCTCAGACACTGGGAATGAGGCCTAGCACCTCCAGGTGACAGGCCTGAGGAAGGACAGCCACCGGAGACCAACCCAGGCACCAGCAAAGTGGGGTCCAGCTACAACTCCTCCAGTGTTTTACAGGCTCTTTTCACATCTGCAGGGCTACCAGTAACTTTTAGTAACCTACTCTTACACATGGTTAAATATAAATTTTTAAAAATCACTAGCATTCAAGGAAAGCCTTTAGTAGTAGAGATAGCTATCAAGGCAAGAAGACAAAAATTAATGAACAGAAAACAAAGACTATCCGAGGTGAAGAAATGGTTAAAAGCTAACAAATAAGTAAACACAGTCGTTAACATTCTCACAGAAGATACATTATGAAATAAAAAGAGGATTCTAATTTTTTTTAAAAAAAAGCTTAGAGAACAAAATGAGAAGTAAAAAAATAAAAAGAGTAGAAATAGAAAACCTCCAAGGTCTGAAAGAGAAAGTGGAAATTTCCCAGAAAACACAGCAAAAAGTGAGTAAAAAGATAAGCAAGTTAGTGGTTGTGTCTAGGAGGGTCAACATCCAAATAGCAGTAGTTCTGAAAAGAGAGAAGAAAAACAAAGGGAGGAAATCATCTATGAAATAATTCAAGAAAGTTTCTGGTATGGAAAGCCAGGAATTTCCAACTTATATGGATCTACTTAGTATCTACCAAATGGAAGAAAACAGACTCACGAAAATGACTGCAAAATTTCAGAATCCTGGGGCAAAAGGGAATATTTTACACACTGTTTGGTCCTTAACAAGTTTTACAGAGCAATCTGAAACTATGCACATAGCTTAAGCTATACACAGAGGTGTCTTTGAAAAAAATAACCACAATACAATCTACTACAAAACAGAATCCATCGCAAAAAACCAAAATAGAACCTTTTACAGTTAATCAATATGTCTCAAGAATCTTCTTTGTTCAAAGTACCAGAATTTAGGATTTTTTTTTTTTTTCAAAGTCTTGCTATATAGCCCAGGCTGGCCTTGGACCCATGATCCTCCTACCTCAGCCTCTCAAGTGCTGGGATTATAGGCGTGCATTACCACATCCATCTCCAGAATTCAGGGTTTTCTTCTCATAGGTATGTGAAATCTCTGGGGAGCTTTTTAAATATCAAGTTTCCAGACAAATCAGAAGCCTGGGTGTGGGGCTAGCTCTGGATACTCTCCAGGTGATTCTGATGTGTAAGTCAAGAACTACAGCACACAGATTTCCACTGTGTCACAGATCACAGAGGACTTAGCCACCTGCCTCTCTACTTAAGCTTACAATTAAAGGACATTCAAGTGACAACTATAACCTGACCCAAAGCAGCAGGAGTTAAATTTAGCCTGAAAGAGCTCAAGGGAGGGATTACTGGCTAGTGCTGCGCTGTCCAACATGGTAGCTATCGTCCACCCATGGTCATTAAAACTCAAACGAACTAAACCAAATTAAAAATTCAGTTTCTCAATCACACTAGCCACAATCCAAGAGCTCAAAATCCACATGTGGCCAGTGGTCACCATATTGGACAGAACAGAGGACCTTTCCATCATCACAAAAGGGTCTACTGGCCAGTGCTAGACCAGAGAGACCAAAAAGAAGAAAACTAGAGGGCTGAGTTATAAAGTTATCCACACAGAACTGGGTAAAAAGAATGCTGTGGTCAAGATGAAGAATGTTCATGAATTAGAAAGCAGAGTAAATTGGGTAAAGAGCTTCGTAACTATACAAGGCTTAAGCCCCACACCAGTAACTCCAAGTAAGAAGGCTTCTGGTAACAAACTGTAGAAATGACTCCTGAAAGTACAGTTGTGAGGGGTTCTGAAATCAGGCTAGCTGGGCACAATAGGGATAGGATTACCTACCCTGCAGGCTTACCGTGACAATTAAATGCAGTAACATGTATAAATGCTTTACCACGTCCATCACATAGAAAGAAGTTGCCTAATAAAGAAAAGCTGTTACTATCACTACTCCAGATTCCCTACGCATTGCACTAAGCTTCAAAAGCATAATTACCGGTATGGCTCCTCTGGTGGATCGCTAAAAAGTGATTGTACTTAAAGACTTTGCCACAGTCTTTACAACGAGCTTCGGGACCCCTGGGGCACTTTCTCCTTCCACACATCTGCTTGGCTGAACTCTGATCATCCTCATCCCCAACAAGTTTGTAGTCTTTAAGTTTGACAGACCTCTGAATCCTGCGCTTGCTGTACCGACTCTGGCTGTCCTGCCCATCCTGGGTCTTGGGGTCACAGTTCTCATCTTTTTCAGCTGGTATCTCCTCCACTCTATCGGACTCACAAGCAGGCTCGGATTCTTTTTCTTTTGCTGGAATCTCTTCATTCACTACAACACTGTCTCCTTCTTTGGCCACAAAGTTTTGTCTATTCTGAACCGAATGGTTCACTCTTAGCTGCATTTCTTCTTCTGATCTCAGGTTTGATTTCCCCTCCTGCAAACTATTAACTTTTCTTGGTCTTCCCCGTTTCCGCTTTGGAGGATCATTTTTCTTGTTAGAAATAACAACCACTGGAGTGCCGGCACTGTTCAAAGTTGTTGGCTTTGAGAAGCCATGATTATTCTGGAAGTCTGTGTAAGCCTTAACCAGGTCATAGACTTTTAAGAATTGAGCAGTAGCCAGGATTTGTTCTGTACTTTTCTCACTGGCATGGAGATAACCTGTGTAGATGAAGTCCAGCAGGTTACCAAAGGTGTCTGCCACCAGGCCCTCCAGCATGTAAATGGACTGCCCAATCTCCCCTTCCTCCGCAAACATCACGGAGAAATATTCGCTACTGGCAGCAAGTAGGGCTTTGTGGGCTCGGAAATGCACATTCTCCACGATTAAAGTAATGTCACAGAGAAAGCCTTTCTTCCTCTGGTCCTCAAAACTGGCCAGGACAGTGTCACTATGAGTGTCTGAGTGTACAACAAGCTGCCCAGAAGGCTCTGGCGATGTTTCTGCCATCTTGTTCAGAAGCCACGAAGGCTTAACTCTGAAATAAGAAAAACAATGTTTAACAAGAACTAAATATCGTCCAACAAGGTTAATCTCAGCCCACACGAACCTGCGCCTCACACAGCTGACTGAATTTTACCATTACCACCTTTTAAAGTCTATGAGAAACAGCCTTGTTGCACATTGGTACCTAGCTGGGTGAATTCTCAATATCCATGGGACCTCTCTCGGTCTGTTTCCTCCTCTGGAAATCAAGGAACAGGAGCGACCATTTGTAAAGTCCTTCCCCCACACTAACTTTTATGGCTGCACAATACTGGGGTGAGAATCGCACTGCCTCGATCTCACGCATTATTAGCCATTTCACCTGTGGAAACGAATATGAAAAGGCGAAGAGAACACAGTGTGCAAAGTGAATGTGGACAAGCTGCATGGAACGCTACTAACGCAACGCGCAGGGGCCTTGCATGGAAGGGCGGCGTGTAGGGCCGGCAGGCTTGGGGCCGGGACCTCCATGCCCCAGGACCCGGAGGGCCGAGCAGGGAGAAAGTAGGAGCCCCCGTCTCTGGGCCCGGGTCCCCGCAGCCCGCCAGGGTAGAGGATGGCCAGGGCGGGGCGGACGCGGTCGCAGGTCCTGAGCCCACAGGCGGCGGACCTACCTCTCTGGGTGCCCTCTGGGTCTGATCGCGGCCAGACCCAAAACCCCGAACACCTGGCGGCGCCCCCAGGTCTAGGCAGCCCCGAATACCGTCCACCCGGCGGCCGCCGCAGCTCAGCCCCCGCTTAAGCTCAGCCGGAAGCGCGGCTCTAAGAGCCGCTTGCGCCGACGCGAGACCACGTGGGCCGCGGGGGCGGGGCCAGGGGCGGGGCCGCCTGAGAGCCCTGGCAGGATGGCGTTGTTACCCCGCGCTTTGCGGAGTTTTATAGCCTATTAGCTTCTCACCCACACCTTAGTCATTTTTGTGCCTTTCCGGACGCCGAATTTGGTGGTAGAGTGTCCAATGCGTGGTGAACCAATTAAAATCACCTCTACCATCAACATCATCACCATCATCTAATGCAAATGTAATAATATTACTTACCTAAATTTTTTCACAGCTGCCTTTTTTCCTGCCTGCTTCTTATGCCTCGGTCCAAGGCAGGGAAGACAGCGCTCTAGTCCGACAGACCTGAGTTCTGAGAGACCTTGGGCAAGTTACTTATCCTCACCAGTAAGTGGAGATGTTAACACTAGGGCGGACTTGGTAGGATTGGAGTGGAGTAAACAAGATTAGGTATGGAATGGGTTTAGTAAACGCCTGGCATGGTTGGTGTTACTAAAATGTGCACAGTTATTATTATTATAGTATTATTCTTTCTTCAGTACTTGTTGAGGTTTCTAACGCCTTAGCTGCAGTGTTGTTCTCTCCAAGACACAGCAGTATGAGGTGTCTGCAAATACAAATCAGATGCAGAGATTGGAGTCACTCCCGGATGTGACTCCCCCGTTCCCATCTGTATGGATAAATGTTAAGTCTCACCTACTTCCAACTAGTTATTTCGGCACTTTCTCTCTATTTATGCTTCACTCCTACCTAATTGCTTATAATTTATTTTTCCCTCTACGTCCAGACTTCCAACCTATCATCTGTACCCTCTATGATTTTGAAACTGGAGGTGTAATTACCAGCCCTATTGTTAAATTTTTTACTAGGTTTTATTAAAACTAACTCGAGCCACACATGCCCCTACTCTGAGGTTTCCTCTTTATCTTGAATCATTTCTAACTTCTTCAGATTTGTGGGGTCAGGTGGGATGACTGACTTCTGCACTCCAGGAGAAAGAGGGGTCAGTCCTAGGGCGTGGCTGCTTCATTGTGTTTTGCTGCCCCAAGGACTGCAGCAAAAACTCCACAGATCCACATATTACACGACTAATTAGTAGAGGAAACAAGTAGATTAGAAGGACATGTTATTTAAGTGGGGAAGCTGGTTATCAGTAGTATGGTGTTTTAAGGACAGTGATCTTACTAGATTCAGACTTTATGTATGTTAAGAGAGTAGGGATGGAAACAGAGAGTACATAACTTCAAAACGTAGAGAGGAGTTTGTGGGATTAAAAAGTTTATAGTCAAAGGGCTGGGGGTGTGGCTCAAGCAGTAGAAGCCTGATAGCAAGAGTGAGACCCTGAGTTCAAACTCCAGTTCAGAAAAAAAAAAAAAAAGAAAAGAAAAGGTCCTTAGTCAATCCAAAAGAAGGAAGGAAAAGGGTAGAGAAAACCTTGAAAAGGTGGTAAGGCCCAGATCATGTAAAGTCCTTTATGTCACGAGTAAGGAGTTCAGATTTTATCTTGACTGAGGCCAGTCAACTGTGATCTGTAACACTACAGATCAGCTGTAGTGTTATGGTTAGTTGATCTTGAGGAAGGCTAGAAAAAGGAGTTAGGATGGGTAACAAGAATGAGTAGCCACATTAAATGTGAGCTGTCAACTAGATAACCCTGAAAAGACATACAGTCTGCTGTCACAGGTTAGAGTCTGGGGTTCAGAGCTGAGAACAGAATTTGAGATACTAATAGAGGAGTCGTCAGAGCACAGATTATACATTGTCGTAAGTAAGATCACTTACAGAGTAAATACTGAAACATAAATGCGTTATCCAGAGTTTTTCTGTTTCTCCTCCAAATTCAACCTCCATCCTTCTGCCCAATTTGTTTTGGCCTTGGGAGACTGCAAAGACCCAAGAACTTTATGAACAGAGCCCTGTGCCTACTGGCCTCTGGATGGATTGGGTCAATGGAGAACCTGCAGGAGACTGGAGAAAGGAAAGGGCCACCATCAGCTGCCAATGAAAGGCTGGTGGAAGTCCTTTGTCACAGTGAATGGCATCAAAAACATGGTTTGTTATGACTTAAGGGATGTGAGAGCAACACAGAGGTAATGACTACTTTCAATGCCAATAGGGCATTTTTAAAAACACTAATTCAGTAGTGCTCTTGTGTCCAGGTCCCTGTAGTACACAGATATTGTAATCAGATATTGTGGATCTTATTACATTTTCATCTCCTACCCTAGAGTGGTAGCATTCTTGTGAATATACATATTGCATTTACTAAGCAGACCTCAACATACCTGGCACACAGTTTTGGAGAATAATCTTGGGATGCCTTTCAACCCATGCTTAAAATCTTGATTTTTGACTTTTTTCCCTAATTTTGCTTGTCTTGATTCTGCAAGTCATTTAAGTCACTCCCTCCAAGAATTCTTTCCAGAACCACCCCAAGTTAAGAGTTCTTAGGTTTTGTAGATATTCCTCTCCCCAGGTCTTCATTTGTAAAAGCAAGAGCTACTCTCCCCCTCCCCACAATGAAAAGATAAAACAGGAAAACACCAACAACTAGACAGAAGTATTTATATGTAAAATACATTTGACATTCATTCTCTGTTCTTGAACTCCCCTTCATCACTAAATTTATGAAAGTTCAATAAACGTATCAAATCCAGTACGTTCTCAAGTGAGGTGAGAAAAAACGAAAAGTATGCAATAAAATTGAAAATGTTTTGAAAACAGTGTTTATTAGAGTTTTGAAGAATTTAAGACAGCAGCTCATATCATATCCTGAAATGAATTCTAGAGAATGTAAAGAGTTAAATAAATATGTTTTTAAAAACAAAAAATTAAAAGAAAGCAAAATAGAGATGGGAGAATTTCCAGAGCTTAAAAGGTGATTCAAAATCATGGAGGAATGATGGACAAGTTTTACTTACGTATCTGATGAATAGAATTTAATGAAAAGAGTTGATGCTTATGTACATAAAGAATTCATGAAAAATAGGTGTGGCAGAGTGGCTCAAGTGGTAGAGCACCTCCCTAGCAAGTGTGAGCTCTGAGTTCAAACCTCAGTATGACTGAAAAAAATTCATGAAAATAATTTCTTAAATGCCCAGAGGACAAAGGACATGAAGAAATAATTCATAAACTATGCAGCTGGCGACAACATATGCAATAAGGCTCAATCTCAGTGTTAATTCAGATTAAAGAAACAAGGTTCTGATTTGTACTCATTTAAAAAAAAGCTAAGAAGACAATGTCAAGTGATAATAAAAAACTAAACTAGAATTTGTGCTCTTAGCACTCCTGAAGCAATGTGACTTTCTGTAGCCATTTAGGAAGTAGTTTCATAATATGAACTGTGAATTCATGCCCTTTAACCCAACAATTTTATTTCCCAGAATTTATGTCAGGTTCATAACCACAAACATGGTGGGGGGACATAAATCATAGTCCTAATGGGGGAGGGGCAGTATTGGGGTTTGAACCTTGTTAGGCAAGCACTCTACCTTGTAAGCCACAACCCTAACTAACTCTTTTTGCTTTAGTGATTTTTTTGGATGAGGTTCCATGTTTTTGGTTGGGATGGCCTTGGACTGTGATCCTCCTACTTCCACCTCCCTCATAACTGAGATTACAGGTGTGCATCAACATGTACGGTCTTCATAGCACTTTTTAATGTAGAACAATATATATTTTCCAGTAGGAATGGTCAAATATAGTTTATCTACTCAAAATATGTGAGTATGACCATTTATTTTATATTTCTTTTGTGATGGTGGGGATGGAACTCAGGGTCTTGTACATGCCAGGCATGTGCTTTATCACTGAGTTACCCCTAGCCCTTGAATGTAATCATTAAAAAAAAAAAAAAAGAAGAAGAAGGAGGAAAGGAAGTACTTCAAAATCTCTTCCCTACTTTTCCACTTTTTGTTCCACACTGTCAACCAAGGACTACCTCTCCTCGTGAGTGGAATTCTGCATGCTTTTGATTACAGTGAAAATGTCTAATGACATTCTAGACCAGACACACAGAGACACAGGATGGCCCTGGGGGCTGCACCACCTCATCCTCTTCCTGCAGAGTGGAGGCTGAGGCAGCAGCTGGAGGAGGGGTGGGACCCAGAAGTGTCTCTGAGCCCCAGTGAGCACCCTGTCTAGCCACCTACTCTCTGATTGTTTCCCCAAAGGAAATATCCTACAGGATGTTTTAAGGGCCCCTGGACATCCAATCAGAAAATTCTTTCATCATATTTGGGATAACAGTTCACGGATTATTTATAGTAATAATATGCAGGCATAATTTCTAAATGAAACAAGAGATTTTAAATGATATATATTCTCCTTTATCATGGCAGAAATGCCGCCTTCTGTCCTGAGTAGTGACACTGTGTGCTAAACAGAACAACTTGCTTCCCAAGAAGAAAAGCAAACATTGCAGGTGGAGGTAAGTGCAGCAGTGGCCTGGGCCTTGGGAGGGTCTCAGGTTTCAAGGAGACTTTCCCAGGGGTCTTCCAAAGAAGGGTTTGTACTTTATGTGTTCACACACACAAATGACTTTGGCCAATGATACACTTTAAGAACAATGACACCATTATGTTGGTTTCCCAGATGTGTTTACAGGGTAGGAGGTGGGATGGGTAAGAGCAAGGCTCTGGAGTTAGGCTGTTCAGGGTCTGAATATGGATTCTATTCCTTTGTAAGCTTGTATGTATGTATAAATGCCACAAGTGTTAGGGAAGATGGTGCTTGTTAAATCATCACATAGTAACAGCCTGGAAGTAGGAGGCCTGTCCGTAACTATTCCCAAAAAAGGTCCTGTGTATAACCGTTTGCTTGTGAGTGTCAGGGTCCTGCAATGTCCAGAGCTGTCAGCTTCTCTGGAAGGCTGTGCTCACCACTGCTCAGGACTCCGCAGCTCCAGTACTGTGATGAATGAGGTATTAGAGTTCAGAAGACAGCATCTTTAGGTTTGTAGAATTCTCAGGGTGAAGATGTAGGGCCTTCCAGTTTCCCTCTACTTTTTTTGGCTGTCCTGACAGAGGAATACAGAATGCCTTGACAGCTCTGTGACCAGTCCCACTGAATGTTTTTCAGCAATCATGAACCCCACCAAGCATTGAGAGAGGTATTTAGGTTTTTGCCCTACACACTGAAAGAAACTAACCCCAGCACTATGGCTAATTCCTTAAACCTTCATACATACTTTATACCTGGTGCCTCATGGCACACAGGCCTCTGCAGAACATCCCTTGTCTCACTGTCGCCACCTTTGCATGTAAGTCCCCTTAATAAATGCTTTGGACTGGCATTGAGTGCTTCTTTCTTTGGGATCCAGACTGACCCCATCTTGAGATGGTTTGAGGTACTCTCTGTGGGAACTTTCCTTCTCCCTCTTTTGGGGCAACTCCAGCTCAGTGGGGACAAACAAGCCATATTAGAGAACTGACTTACAGGAGATGGCTTGTGCCCAAAGGGTCTGACTTGCTCTGGAGCATGGAAGATACTCCCCGGAGGCCCCAGGAAATACTTGGGGTTATTCTGCTCAGGCTGCTGAACTTCACAAAGGTGAGGGCACTGAGCAATGAAGTGTGGGTTTAACTGATAAAGGAAACTCAATATACCCACAGGCTGCCCACATATGGAGACACTGCGGTCTTGTTAAGTATGAAAAAGCCAGGAGGATGTAGCCTGGTGATGGGAAGGTGGCAAAGTCAAGTATTAAGACATAGAAAGGGGCTGAGAATGTAGCTCAATGGGAGAGCACCTGCCTCTCATGTACAAGTCCCGGGTTCATTCCCCAGCACTGCAAAAAGAAAGACAAAAAAAAGGAAGGAAGGAAGAAAAGTAAGATTCATCCCAGAGGTGCAAGGATAGTTCAATACATGAAAATCAATGAACATCATACATCACATCAGCAGAATTAAGGACAAAATGTATGGCCACTTCAATCAGTGTAGAAAAGCCATTTGATAAAATTTAAAGTCTTGGGCTGGCTGAGTGGCTCAAGTGGTAGACAGCCTTAGTGTGAGGCTCTAAGTTCAAAACCCAGTACCACCAAACAAAACAAAACAAAAGAGTGGGTGGGGTTTAAATTGCTAGCAAATTTTGTAGCAACTGGCAACTCCCAGTCCTCCAAAAGGCTTTGTGGATTTATCCTAACTTTGATAACAGGATTCCAGCTTTTGTTTAAAATTTATTTTATTGTAAAATATATTATACAAAAGTTATATAAAGCAGGATTCTATTTTCAATTAACACTATTAAAGTTACAGGGATCAAAGAACTTTGTCTCATTTTAGAGATTCAGAAACCAAGGCTCAGAGAACTTGAGATTTACTCAAGGTGACATCATTGATGACAATTTTTTTTTTTATTTTTAAGAGAGTCAATGTTCCTATTATTTATTTATTTGTTTATAATAGGACCTTGTGCTTGCTAGGCAAGTGCTCTACCACTTGAGTCATTCCATCAGTCTAAATCTTGCAATCTAATATTCTAGAGTTTTATATTCCTGCTGAAAGTTGATCTTACTGTAAAAATCAAATTCAAATTCAATTTAGTGAATTTCCCCATCATATAATTTTTGACAGAGTCACATAAGACTCTAAATTTCATCCTTCTTAAAACATCATATAATTTCTAATTATAAAATAATGTATATTGCATGCTTTGGTGAGCACTTATATAAAGGAAAGAGGCAGTCAGAAGTTACCACAAAATCCATTTATTTTGTTGGGAAAATGAGAGTGTCTTATAGTCACAGAATGTACAAACAATTCCTTATGTAAAAATATAACCATATTTCTGTTTTACTTATATCAATGTTGATTTTATTTTTTGAAGCTAACATTTAATGAGAAATTTTCTTTAACTGATTTTTCTATCGAAAATGTTAAAAAGGAAAGTAAATAATAGATCATGAACCTTACTTAAATATACTAAATGAAATTCTAAATTTAACAAAATTGTGAAAGCATCAAACTTGAGATAAAAAGCAATAAACTTGGAAATTGTGTTTACAATCATGCTTACAGAAGCGTGCCCACTTCTGGCAGGCAGATCTTTGGGTCCAGTTGAAGCCTGGTAACCACAGAACATCAGTCAGGATTTGAACTTCAGACGACCAGGTTTTCAAGTCTTCTGCTCTCGATTTCCCTCTAGCTCTTGGATATAGTCCTTAAATTCAGGCTGCATTAACTTAAACTACCCATTAATTGGGTCTATATTTCTGAGAGAGAGAAAAGTCTGTAATTTATGATCAAAGTCAATGGCTCTAAACTGAGGCTCCTTGTATTTTCTGGTCATCTTGGCACCCAGGTATGTTATGAGTTCACACTTCTCCATAAACTGCTCCATCTTCTTCTTATACTTTTTTCTTGTATATTCAGAACCTTTGGGATTAAATGCTGTAGACAAGTTCACAGACCTGTCAGTGTTTTCTGATCAGTTAGAGACTCGTTAAATAAAAGACAAAGGCTGTGTGATGGAGCCACACAGCTGTTGCAGAGGAGGTTCCAAATCCAGACAGGATTTCAAAATCATTCTATTTTAGGTTGCCAGCAGTCATCTTTCTCTATGACGCGTATTATTGAGAGCTAATTTGATTAGTTACAGTCTCTGCTTTTAAAACTAGCAACTCAATTTTGATATTTGCATTAAACAATTTGCCCTGCATTGCAACACACACACACACACACACACACACACACACACACACACACACTCCAGCCAGGCGAACGGCCCAATCAGCATCCTATTTACTCTGCGCACTACACCAGTGTGGAACTGGTTCTGCATAACGTATCACTAAAAAGCATACCTTTGAGGTGAAGGGCTATGTAGAGTAGTGCAGATCTCCTGATGCTTAAGAATGGAAATTTGGGTTTCAGGCACCCGGCGGCATTCATTGCTTTAATTAGAGAGGTTGCTGTACCCTGCAGGTAGGGAATAATTTAAGTCATGTGCATATCTGAGTTTGCTTCCTTTTCTTCTTTTTCGGTGCTACTGAGGTTTTGAACTCAGGGTCTGTCACCTGCTAGGTTGGCACTCTAGCACTTGATCCATGTACCCAGCCCTTTTTTACTGCAAGTCATTTTTCAGATAGGGTCTTGAGCTTTTTGACTGGACAAGACTTGGGCCATGATACTCCTACCTATGTCTCCTGTATAGCTGGGATTATAGATGTGAACCACCGTGCTGGTCTTGTTTGTTGAAACAGAGTCTTGATAACTTTTTGCCCAGGCTGGCCTCAAACCATGACCTTCCAGATCTCTACCTCTGGAATAGCTGGGACTTCAGAAATGAATTACTATGCCTGTCTTTTGTGTCTTTTCTTAGCATAGATAGATAAGGGAGGCCCTTTATTCCTTGCCTCAAGTAGCCTCCCTGGGGTTGGGAATGGGACTTATAAAAATGGCTAGGTGAGCCAAGCCGGTGATTCACGCCTGTAATCCTAACTACTCAGGAGGCAGAGATCAGGAGGATCACATTGACCACATCTGAGGTGGGGCTGGCACAGTGGTTCAACCAGTTATAGCACCTGCCTAGCAAGTGTGAAGATCTGAGTTCAAACTCCAGTGCCATGAAAAAGAAAAAAAGAAAAAAAAGATGACTAGGTGGCCATGAAGTCAACAGGAAAGAAACAAAAGCCACATTTGATTGGGAAAAATGAAATGTAGACTAGTTTAGTGTCAGCTGGGGACAGAATGCATGCTGAGAAAAAGTGTCCTTTACGAGAGTTCATCCACTGGCATTTTGACATTAAACCAGCCAGAAGGCTAACTTTCTCAGCAAGTTGAAAAAGACAAAGTGATTAAGAATTTGTGACATAGGTATGAGATTGTGCCCTCGGCATTTATTTTGCAGAAATACATATTTTTAAAGCTTTAAAGTAGGAGTTGGCTACTGATAAATTTTACTTTTTTTTTTTTAAACTCAGGGCCTCGCACTTTCTAGGCAGGTACTCTACCACTTGAGGAATACTTTTTTGTTTTAGTTTATTTTTCAGGCATAGTCTTGCAGTTTTTGTCTGGGCCAGCCTTGGACCATGATCTTCCTACCACTGCCTCCTGCACCGCTGGGACCACAAGAATGTAGCACTATACCTAGCTTGTTTGTTAAGATGCAGGGAGGAGGGTTCACACGAACTTTTGCCTGGGCTGGCTGTGAATGCTTATCCTCTTGATCTCTGCCTCCCGAGTAGCTGGGATCACAGGCATGAGCCATTGCACCTGGCCTCTTGAAAGGTTTTTTATTTCTCTCTCTTTGGTAGTATTGGGGTTTGACCTCAGGGCCTCATGCTTGCTAGGCAGATGCTCTACCACTTTAGCTACTCCACCAGTGTCTTGGCCTCTTTAAAAAAAGTTATATTTGGGTTTAAGCCACTCCTCCAGCACCCTGGCCTCTTTTAAAAAAGTTGTATTTGGTGGCTCAGGTGGTAAGGGTGTCTGCCTAGCAAATGATAAATATGATGTGACTGGAGTAGATAGCCTCATCTAGATTTGGGACAAAATATGGACTTGTAGCTCACTTGTCTTGCAACTCAACTCTTTCGAGCAGCGAGTGAACCTCTCAGAAACTGAATCTGCACATTCCAAATTATGAAAACATTTTACAGACTCTGAAGTTCTAAGATTGGAATCAAACTGCATACCCAATCAAATGGAAAGAATTCCATGACATCTGCTTTCTCTTGACTTTCATGCAGATATCTAGGAACTAGCTGTGGAAGAGGGCTTTTCACCTGTTTTATTTTGACATCACCCATCAACACAGTGGGTTTGGAGTGGACTTGCAGCTTAAAATCAGAAAACTCTGCCTTGGCTTCACTGTCACCAAAATGAAAATTATTGTTAAAAAGCAGAGACCACTGTGTTCTTATAATGTGCATTGTAGAAAACCATGCAACTGAACCTGTTCCAGATATCCAGGCAAAGGGAGGCTTGTCAGAGATATGGGTTCCTTTAGCGGGGGCAGTTTGTTTGGAAGCTTCTGATCCCAGTAGTTCATTGGCTTCCTAGAACACAAGTGCATTACATAGACTCACAAATATACTCATTTTGTGTACGTAGGAATGCAAATATACAAGAGACATTAAAAGATACAACACACTACTTGTTTCTCTCCATTGGGGAAAAATATACAAGCGGGAGACTTCATAGCCACCCACTTCACCTGGGTCTCCAGCCCTGCTCACTTATTCTTTTTTATTATTTTCACAGCAACTATACATAACTTTCTTTATCTTACCTTATTTTATTTTATTTTTGTTTTTTGACACAGGGTCTCACTATGTAGAGATCTTCCTGTCTCAGCCTCCTGAGTGCTGGGATTATAGGTGTACACCACCACGCATGGCTAACACTTTCTTTATTCTCCTTAAAATTCTAATTTTCCAGATACTGCCTTCCACGTCCAAGGCTCAGGATGGAGGGTATTAGGATGGCGCCTCCCCCACCAGCTGCTCATCACAGGCTGCGCCCCACTGCAGTGGAGGTAGCTCCCATCTAAGACCATCCCCACCCACACTTCTAACGCCCACTGCACCTCTCTCCATCTCTCCACGTATCTTTTTTTTTTTTTCAGCACTGGGGCTTGAACTCAGAGCCTATTCCTTGAGCCATTCCACCAGCCCCACCCGCCCACTTTTTTTGTGTGAAGGGTTTTTTTCGAGATAGGTCTCTTGAACTATTTGCCCAGACTGGCTTTGAACCACCATCTTCCTGATTTCAGCCTCCTGAGTGGCTAGGATTACAGGTGTGAGCCACTGGTGCCTGCCTTCTCCAGGTATCTTACTATAGCAGTTTCTCTCTCCCTCTCCCCTGAGACTTTGGCATTTCCTTCTGTACTGAAATCCTTGCCCAGCATCTGCATTTAAACATGCTCATAATTCTCCCTTGGGAGAGAAGAACAGCCATCCTCACTTCCTCCGCCCTACATTCCTTCCAGCAACAAATCCCCTCTTCTTTTTACTGTTAAACTTCCTGAAACAGTGAGCCTCAACAGAAACCACGAGCCACCCAAGTTCTACCTACAGGTTCACATGATATTTTATTTTTCAATTTGAGTTGGTCATGAGTGTTTAAAAATCTGAAAGTTTAAGGAAATTTGATTCTAACTTCTTGTGGAAACTGTCCAGCAGTAGATGGGTAGCTGCTGCCCCCCAGTTGGCAGCAGCCCCACTGCTCTGGTTTCACATCTGACCTGCTTCCCTCAGCTACTTTTCCTCCCAGCCACAGCAGCCATCTGAATCTGTAATCTGGGTGACAGGCAAGGTCTTCATCTCATTCTCATTCACTCCTCCAAGTTCAACCCCCACTACTGAACTCTTTTGACAGGACCACCTGACCTCCACAACCTCAGTCTCCCAGGTGTTTCAGTCCTTGTCTGGCTTGACCAATCAGAAGCATGTAAGCCTATTGGCCACGCCCTCCCAGGGGCTTCCTCTCTCCCTCCTTCCCTAGCCTCCCATCCTGGGCTTGTTCTCTTTAAGTCTCCCAGGTAAACACTTCTGCTGACATTCATGTGTTCACCCCAGAACAAATTTGATTCTAACACTAACCTAGTTTAAAACCAGGCAGGGTGCTTGTACTGCCTGTGGGGTCAAGTCCAAATGCTGAATGGTGATTTTACTTGTCCCTCCCCGCTGCAGTCCTCCTCACTCCCACTTCAGCCTTACTTTTGCTTTCTTCCCTCTCTACATACAATCAGCAGTGGTAAATTTTTTGCAGTCTCTGATCCCCAGGGGTCAGGTTGTAGGTTCCCATGCCTGAAATCTGTCCCTCTTTCCTTTCTTCCAATTCATTCCAACTCCTCACTGGGACAATTCAGTCATGATCATTGCTGCACTTCCGCAGAACTCCAGGTACTTGTCATCCTCACACCCCATGACATTCTGTTGTTATCTGGTACTTACAGTCTGTAGAACCCTGGAGACTCAGGCTTTGGGACAGCAAGGACCACTCCTTGTCCACCACTGTATGTGTGTGTGTGTGTGTGTCCCGTTTCCCTCCCCCAGTTCCCAGCATGGTGCATGCAACACAGAAGATATTCAGTAAATATTTGTGACTTAATGAATAATCTCTCACCTCAAAAATTTCTCGAGTTTTTCTTTACTCTCACAAATATATATACGATTCCGATATTCTATAGCGTAATTGATGTTACCAGGTACTAAGGCTTCATATCTGAAAGACCAAAACCAAAAGCAAAACAAAACACCCCATCATGTAATGAATATGCAGTACTGTGTAAATAAAGTGTTTTCTTTTCCTACCTATGAAACTCAAGGAGGAGAAGAGCATTTCCCCAAGCAATGACATGAAGATAATTACAAGAAACACTCATACAGTGGGGGGGATCATTCTGTACTTCCAAGGGGGAGGACTTGCCTTTGCTTTCCATCCCGATAGGTCACTGGACAGTAGCCCTGGAGCTCGGCACACTTAGGGAATCGATTCTTCAGCTCAGATATCGTCAGCCTTTTGGGGATCAAGTCAGCACTTGGGAGAGGATGAGGTGCTAAGGGAGGCACATACAATTCTGGGTTCTCCAAAAATTTCTATGAACAAAGGGTTACAGGAGCAAGACCATTTAAAACAGCAGTAATACACCAATCAAAAACCCACGGAGGCCTCTTCCTTTCCCCATTCAGTAACAATGTTCTGCCTTTCAAATTGTCTGAGAACTGCTCTCCACACTATAGTAACTTCTCTGATAGGGAGCTCCTTAGGGTAATACCCCAGGTAATCACTTCTAAGGTTTCTCCTTATCTCATTCATACAAAATATATTTGCTGAACTTCTGCACAGGACCTGGTGGCCCATCTTCCTGTCCTGCAATATAATGAGCTAGCTGAGTTAACTCATCCTTTGGCAGATGAGTTGACTTCTCCAGCATCATGTATCTCTCTAAAATGGAGAGGGTGGACTAGATACATCATCTCTAATGTCACTTCTAGTTTTAAAATTCTGCAATTACCATTAAATAAGCAGGAGGAAATAAGTATCTCCTTAATAAAGAATTTTAAAAGCTGTAATTCTTCAGAGGAAAACAAAATGTTCAGAGGCATCTGGTTAGTTTTCATTGTTGTCTTCCAGTGCAAGTCATTTTATATTATCAGATTGTGGACATCATAATATCAGAATAAAACTGTGTTTCTGTTCTATTAAATGGAAACACAGTTAGTTTTCCATGTCTAAGGACGTCGGCAGTTGGCGCTCTGTATCTGTGGGTTCTGCATAATCAGATTTAACCAATTGCAGGTTAAAAATGATTCTGTATTGAACATGTAGAGATTTTTCCTTCCATCATTCCCTATACAATACAGTGTAGCAACTGCTTACTTGGCTTTTACGTTGTATTAGGAATTATGAGTGATCGAGAGATGACTTAAAATATATGGGAGGATGTGCATAGGCTCTGTGCAAATACAAGATCATTTCATACAAGGGATTTGAACTCCCATGCATCTTGGTGTCTCTGGAGGGAGTGTCCTGGAACCAGGCCCCTGTGGCTACTGAGGGACAACCGGATAAAGTATCTGGGAAATTCCAGTGATAGAAAAAGCAATTTAAAGCTTAGGGAACATAGGTCAGCTCTCAGTTCATTTCTGCAGCTCTTGGGGTTGAATCTCCTGATGCCGTCAGATCAGATCTGACCTGTCCATCAGATTCTCCATTGACTCTCCCTATCTGTTAGGGTGGTCAAGGCCAAGGGCCCAGCAGCACTGGACAAGGACTTCTTCTATATTCACTCTATGCTTTTGGATGCAGTTTCAAGGCTGATTTCTGAGTTCCTTACTGGCCCACAGTCAATAATGGGGCTCCTGGAGAGTTCTGGGTGTTCTCAGGTATGCCACCCTTTTCTATTTGATGAATTTCAAGATGAGACATTTTCTTTCATTAGAAATACTTGGAGTTAGTAGCAAACTTACATTTAGCTTTTCCTGGGAATTCATTTTATAATAGTGCTCCCTGAATTCTGCTGCAAATTCCAAGGAGTCAGTTACAGAGCAATCAACTAACTCATACGACTCTGCCAGGCTGACAGGGCAGAACTGTCCAAATTCTCCCAGGCGAGAAATCAGCTCTTGAGGTGTGATACATAGCTTGTCAATGCAGGCAGCTTTTCCTATTGTTGACATATTAACTATCATTATATATATATTTTTCATAGGAGACACAATGATTTTAAAACATTAAAATAATCTCAGTTACACAGAACTATACAAATAATATGCATTTAAAAATTCCAAACAACAGAGTAAAAAGTTAAAGTGATTCTTCCTACCTGCATCTTCTCAGACCATCACCTCTCCTGAGAGGTGAACCCTATTGGATTGGTATACTTTTCAGTCTTTTTTCCCATACATTTGCATATATACACTTTTTTTGCATATAGTATACTTTTGCCACTATCTTGTAAATATTATTCTTGCTTTTATCAGTTAGGTCTTTGATATCTTTCTATATTATTTATATGATTTACCTAGTCCTTTTGAATTGATGCAAAGCATTCCACTATGTAAATATACACATTTGCCTATTGATGAATATTTTGGTTGTTTTACTTCTGAGTTATTATAAACCATATATATGTTATAAATAAACTTTATATATTCATGCCTAATTTATATCTGTGTGTATGAATGGGTATATATGTATGTGTTTGTGAATTTATATATGTTTATGTATACGTATATGCATATTTAAGAAATTTCTATGGGATAGATTTCAGGAACTGGAAATGGTTTCCTGAATTGATGTTACTGACACAAACTTCTCCCTGTTCCCAGATGCTACCTAAGGGAAGGTAAGAACATTTATCCTAAAGTGACTGGGTTTACCCTAAACAGTCTGTTTTAGAAAGAAAGAGCCCAAAGTCCTTTAATGGACAAGTTTAACAGTTTTCTTTCTATTATTCTACTGGAATGGGGACTTCAAAGCAATATGAGATGCTATAGAAAATAAAAGTACTTTTTATACATTTTAGTTGATATATAATGAGTGAATTTTAATGCCAAATATATATTTTAATGGTTCTTTCACCTAAGAGCTTGATTTATGTCTTAAAAAATTTTTAATTAACTATAGAATTAGAAAATATAAATCATAGTTTTATTTATTTAGAGAAATGATTTTTTTTTGTTTCAGAAATGATTTTATCTGAGATGTACTAATACAGACTTAAAATTATTTATCTAAAACCTTTGAGGCCAGATATATTGGGTAATTCAGAATGTTTTATATTCTGAATAGGGTCTAGAGCAGCACTCTGTAACCCATGTCATTTAATCTCTTTGAATAATAGGGAGACCCTCTCTAACTGGGGTACATAAAAAGTATATACATGTCATCTCATGCCATTTGAGGATGAGGCCCTCAAATGACTTACGAATAAATGAGGTTTGTGGGCCAGGTATGAGGACCTATGTCTTATCGCCTCACCTCACCAATCTGCTTCCTTTGCTTAGGGAGGAGGCTGTGGTGTTGCAGGTGACAAAGTCCTCTGACGTGGCCATTCTCACCTCCCATGTGACTAGATCTAACCCCAAACAGGGATGGCAGGGAAGCCACACCCAAAGAATATACCACCATGTAATCTTTTCACAATTCTGCTTTTATTTATTTTTTTTGGTGGTACTGGGTTTGAACTCAGGGTCTTGCGCTTGCTAGGCAGGTGCTCTACCACTTGAGCCACTCCACCAGCCCTTTTTTGTGATGGGCTTTTTTTTTTTTTTTTTTTGAGATAAGGTCTCATGAACTATTTGATGGGGGCTGGCTTCAAGCTGCAATCTTCCTGATCTCAGTCTGTTGAGTAGCTAGGATTATAGGCACAAACCACTAGTGCCCAACTTTACAATTCTGCTTTTAAATAGGAAGTAGAGAAGGGGTGGGCACAAAATAAAGGGATTTGAAAAAAATTAACTATCATTTCTTTAAGCCATCATAGCCCTCCTTCAACAAGGCAGTCATTTAAAACCATTGGCTTATTGGTCTCCATCCTCCATTCACTTCCTGAAAGCTAGGACTTGTCAGTGTGGCTTTAGCACAATTCTCAACAAGGTCTTTAGGATGTGTACTGCTGTAGTGCAGTATTTTTCAAATGGTAAAAATCTATGACTGAATAGAGTCAATGAAGGTAAATTAGACTTCTTTTCTGTGTGCCACAAGAATGGATACCAGACAGTTTAGAGTGCCAGTTGGATAGGATCTCCTGAATGTCTTTGTGTATCTTTCACAGAATTCAGAGAAGTGTTACAGTGTAGTATTGCTTCCCTAAAGTCAATGCCACTTTGAAACTTACCACATAAAAGTCCTCTGATACTACCATTCTCACCTCCCAAATGACCAGATCTAATACCAAGAGTCTTCAGAGAAAGCATTGTCACACTCACTAAAACTATTGCAAAAGACGATGACTTCTGTTTTATTGACCCTCTTCCTTTCCTTTTCAGCTTGTTCATCTAATGAAGCAAGCTGCCATGTTGGAGAGGTCCACATGGCAACAGCCAACAAAGAACCTAGGTCCTCAATCCAATAACCCTCAAAGAAGCAAATCTTGTCAACAATATTTGAATGGGCGTGACAGTGGGGTCTTCCCCAGTTAAGCTTTTAGAAGAGACTCTAACCCTGGCCAGCACCTGGATTATAGCTTTGTGAGAGACTGTGTTAGTTAGCTTTCTGTTACTGTGACAAAATGCCTGAAAGAACAAACTTAAAGGAGAAAAGATTTGTTTTAGCTCATGGTTTCAGTCCATGGTTATTTGGCCCAGTAGCTCTTGGCTTTGTGGCAAGGCTATATATACATCATGGAGAGAGTGCATGGTAGTATAAGCTGCTTATTTCAAGGTGGCCAGGAAGCAAAAGAGAGAAGATGGGCCTGAGGTCCCAATATTCAAATGCATACTCCCAGTGACCTACTTCCTGAAACTGAGCCTTATCTCCTAAAATTTATACCTCATCCAACAGCACCATCAACTAGGGGCCAAGCCTCCCACACATGAGCTTTTAGGGGACATTTAAGACCCAAACCATACAGCCATCTTAATTATAGCCTATGACAGACTCCCAGTAAAACCTGATTCAGAGAAACTGTATGGGTGTATATGTGCTGTTTGTTGCTAGGTTTTGGAATAATTTGTTATGTAGTAATAAATAATGGATGTATTATTTTATCTGAAAAGGTGGAGAAGCCAGTATTCTTTCCTTCAAAGAATATTATACTACTATAATATTGTAGTGATATAATATCATCCTAAAGTATTATAATATATAGTTCTATAGTACAATAACATTTAGTATTATTAAAGTGTGCAGTATCATAATATATAACATCATAGTATTAAACTATATGATGCTATAGTAACCTATTATAATATTATATATTCTTAGGTTATTCTTTTGTTTAGATGTGCCAAATATCACCAATCTTGGATAGGTTTAGTGACAGGGTAATTTATTTTATTTTATTATTTTTGGAGGTACCGGGGTTTGAACTCAGGGTCTTGTGCTTCCTAGGCAGGCACTTAAGCCACTCCACCACTCATTTTTTGTGCTGGTTATTTTGGAGATAGGATCTCACAAACTATTTGTCCTGGCTGGCCTCAAACCATGATCCTCCTGATTTCTGCCTCCCGAGAAGCTAGGATTACTGGGATGAGCCACTGGAACCCAGCCATGACAGGTTAATTTAAAATCACATTAGTTAAAGTCTTAAAAGACACTTAAATATCTTACTCTTTTGGTTGGGATAGTTTTGGTGCACCTGGCAATGTCTCTTATCCTATTCTGGAAAGTGGCAAGAATGAGGAGGAATCTTTTAATCTTTTAGCCCTAGTTTTGCACCATCTCATTGGTCAGGGTAATCTTTGACACCTCCCTCTCCTGCCCCCCCCCATAGGACAGGATCATTTGAACAGCGTACAAAAGAAACATAGAGTGAAAAAACAAACAAAAAGCAAGAGTGAATCTAAGCAATTAGGTACAGGTGAGATCATCAGGTGGTGACCAAAGCAGAAGAGAATAGGGAGGATTCCAGTTAGAGAGTAACATAACACAATGAGTAGCACAGTGCCTGGACCAAATCCCTGTTCAGGACTGATGTACCCATCTCCCAGCTGCTGGGGACAGTGGTGCTGATGGCTCACAACTGCACTGGGAATTGCCCCTGTTACAAGTTGTACAGTTGTACAAGTTGTACCCACTCCCAGGGTGGCCTATGGTCAATGATAAACTGATGGTGGGGTGGGGGAGATTCAAGCCTTCTGTTTGAGAAGCTTTAAAGTTCTATCCCAGCTCAGTATTTCCATATTGGATTTCCTGAGGGCTTCTACTTCTATTCCAAGTTGTCTCTTCCTCTGTCCACTTCTGTGCCTTTCTCATTTCCTGATGAGAGATGCTAGATAAAACACAGGATGCCTAGTGAAGTTTGCATTTCAGAGAAATAGTGAATGGTTTCCAGTGTAAGTATGTCCCTTGCAATATTTGGAACATCCTTAAACTCAAAATTACTCATTGTTTATCTAAAATTCACACTTAGCTGGGTATCCTATATTTTTATTTGCTTAATGTGACTAACTCCATTCCTGAATGCAATTCCTGATGAAGTTTTCTGCACACAAATTTTCATGTCGAGTCTGTTTTCAGGGAATCCAGTTTAAGAGAGAGGGTGAAATAGAGTCACAGAAAGATGAAAGATGCACACCTTTTTGCTTCCAAAGACTGCTATGTGGTGTTCACTAGTGTGGAGCTATCTAGAACTTATTGGGAATAGATTTCTAAAAACTTAATTCTGTCTTCCCTCATGCTCTTATCATTATGCCTTATCATTACTCAGGTGAAAAAATTCCTAGTCTGTAGACAAACAGGAACTGTATGCACTGTATTCATATGTGCACACAATGTTTGGGTCATTTCTCCAACCCCCCATCCCCTTCCTATCCCTCTGCCCCCCCTCTCCCCCCCACCTCCTCACTACCAGGCAGGAACTATTTTGCCCTTATCTCTAATTTTGTTAAAGAGAGAGTATAAGCAATAATAGGAAGGACCAAGAGTTTTTGCTAGTTGAGATAAGGATAGCTATACAGGGAGTTTACTCACATTGCTTTCCTGTACATATGTGTTACATTCTAAATTAATTCTTCTCAAACTAACCTTTTCTCTATTTCCTAGTCCCCTTCTCCTATTGGCCTCTGTCACTTTAAAGTTTCTGCATTAGTTTCTCTGCATTGAGGGCAACAAATGCTATCTAGTTTTTTGGGTGTCTTATCTATCCTTATACCTCCCTTATGTGCTCTCACTTTATCATGTGATCAAAGTCCAATCCCCTTGTTGTGCTTGCCCTGAGCTAATGTCTGCATATGAGGGAGAACATTCGATTGAAGGTACTGGTTGTACCCAAATGATGAAGAAAATCTAGACACAGTGATGCAGCTATCACCAAGACCCTCACTGTGTTCTTCCTTGTATGAGATTCTCTTAGTTGTATTGCTGCCATATACCTGGTATATTTCCTTCACGCTTTCTATAAAACCATTAAACGGATGTCTGTAAGATGTCTAAGATAACTTCGCAGGAGTCATCACTCTTTTTAGAAATACTGGATATAGATAGCTTTCCTCCTATTTTGTGTGTTTTTGGAGAGAAGTCTTGAAACGATTTAATAGAAACATATAATCAAATACTTTCTCCCATGGATTCCAAATATAGACTGAAAGACATTTAAATCTCAAGCTTAATATTTTTGTAGATTGAGCATTTATGTCATGCCACGATGAATGTAAATGGGAAGAATAATTTTAATTCTAGATTCCTACACAAAATTTGTACAAGTGTCCCTCCACACTCCACTGGTTCCATATAGCTACCCTAAGCAACCTGGAAAATAGCTTCTTATGTGGCATTTCAAACACTATAAACAAGTGAGGCTCAAGTGGCAGAGCACTTGCCTAGCAAGTGTCAAAAAATTAAAATAAAAATAAAAAATAAACAACTGAGAGCGTATGTATTATCTTATGTATTTGATTCACATAAGTATTCAATAAACAGTGACTTGAGCAGCATGGTAGTGGAAGAAAAATTTATCCATAGACTAATGGAACAGAACAGAACACCCAGAAATAGGCCTACACATCTACAATCAACAAAGGCACTAAAAACATAGTTCTGGGTAAACTGGGTATCAATATGCAGAATGAAACTCCATCCTGTATTAGTCCATTTTGTATTACTATCATGAAAAATCTGAAGCTGAGTAACTATATAAAGAAAAAGGGTTTCTTTTGTCTCATGGCTGTGTATGTACAAGGTCTAGGGGCCGTATTTGGTGATGGCAGAGTCCCAAAACTACGCACAGAAGGGACTGTGTACAAGTATGTGTATCTCTTCTGGCTTCTCCCCTCTTATGAAGCCACCAATCATGAGGGATTCAATCATGAGTGCTCCATCCTAATAACTTTATCTATCCTAATCACCACTCAAAGTCCCCACCTATCACCGCATAGTTGGATTAAGTTTCCACTCTTTTATTACCTCACAATAGGGATTAAGTCAATTTGTGAAGCATTGGAGACACTAAAACCATATCCAAATCACACAAAATCACCACACACACAAATTAATTCCAGACTGAGGATTTCGCTCAGAGACAGAGTGCTTGCCTATCGAGCACTGGGTTCAAGTCTAGCACCACACACAGACACACACAGACACACATACACACACTCAACTCAAAATGGATCAAAGACCTACAAGTAAGGCCCAAAACTGTGGAACTACTAGAAGAAAACATGAGAAACACTTTAAGATATTAGTATAGGCAATATTTTTTTTGGATCAGACCCCAAAAGCATGGGCAACAAAAGCAAAACTTGACAAATGGGGTTTGTCAATTAAAGCTAAGACGCTTCTGCACAGCAAAGGAAACAATAAACAGAATGCAGAGACAGCTGACATGATGGGAGAAAACATTTACCACCTATTCATCAGATAAGGGATTAGCATCCAGAATGTGTAAAGAACTCAGACAATTCAACAGGAAAACAAAACAAAACAAAATCCAATTGAAAAATCTGCAAATCACAAATAGACATTTTCTCAAAAGAAGATATGCAAATGGCCAACAAGTATATGACAAAATGCACAACAACACTAGCCAGGGAAATGCAAATCAAAATCACAAGAAGATATCTTATCTCATTATGCTTATAATTAAAAAGACATAACAAAACAAACAAACAAAACTCCAAATTCTGGCAAGGATGCAGAGAAAGGGGAACTCTTATACATTGTTATATATTGTTAGTAGGAATGCAAATCATACAGCCACAATGGAGGAGAGTATGGAGGTTCCTCAAATAAGCAAAGAATAGGTCTATCATGTGACCCAGCTATCCCACTTCTGAGTCTATACTCAAATGAAGCGGAATCAGCACATCAAAGGGACACCTGCATGCCTGTGTTTGCTGCAGCATTATTCACAATAGTCAAGATGTAGAATCAACCAAGATATCCATCACTAGATGACTGAGTAAAGAAAATGTGGTATATATATACAAGGAATATTATTCAGTCATCAAAAGAATGAAATCCTGTCATTTGTAGCAAAACAGATTGAACTGGAGGGTATTATGTTAAGCGTAATAAGCTGGATACAGAAAGATAAATATCACAGGTTGCTAGTCATATGCAGAAGCTTAAAAAAAGATCTCATAGAATGAAGAGAGTAGAATAGTGACTACTAGAGGCTAGGAAGGTTGTGGAGGTGGGGGGAGATAAAGGGAGGTTGGATAACGGATACCAGAACATAGTTGGAAAAGTTCTAGTGCTCTGCAGCACAGTAGGATAACTATAGTTGCAATTGCAAAGCTACAAGTATCTATTTTATGAAGCACTGGAAGAGAGAGTAGTCCAAGGGCTCCACATACAGAGAAATGACAAGGAGATGGAAGTTCTAATTATCTTGACTTGAACAGTTCACATTTTATATATGTACTGAATTAGCACACCGTACCCCATAAATATGTACAATATTATGTGTCAATTAAAAAGAAAAAATAAACTTGATAAATAAATGATAGCTTGAGTGGTAGCAGTCATTTATTAGAACAAATATACATGCCTATATATCTTTGTTTGGTTGCTATGATAAAATATATTAAACTGGTAATTGATAAACTACAACAATTGCTCACAGCTCTGGAGCTCAGGAAGTACAAGATCAAGGTGCCAGTAGATCCTCTATGTGATGAGGGCCTGCCCCTCATAGATGGTGCTTTCTCACTCATCCTCACACAATGGAAGTGGCAAACAGGCCTCCTCTAGCCTCTTTTCAGGGCACTGATCTCTTCATGAGGGCAGAGAGTTTATGAGCTAATCCCTTCCTAAAAGCTCCACCTCTTAATACTACTGCATTGGGGATTAGGTTTCAACATATGAATTGTGTGTGTTGCGGGGGGGACACAAACATTCAGACCACGATGCCACAATAATTGATTAGTACTGTATGTTTAAACTACTGAGTGATATTGTCAAGACAAATGTTCAAGTTTCATAAATCACAGTAACATGGGTCAGGTGTGCTTAAGTTCTAAGTTCCCATTTTATTTTAATTTTTAGAAATATTTCCTTACCTTCTTTTATTCTTTCCATGTACGTCTGCATGTAGCTATTGACCTTTCGAACATTCGTGATGACTGCATTCCATACCCACCACTTACTGTGGAATCCTTCGATCACATACCAGTTCTGATGCTGCTCTTGATAAAATTGCCTGATCTCATCAGCATTTTTGCGGTACTTTGCATTCTTGATAGCTATAATCTGTGCACTATTGTGCAAGGGATAAGGCAAACTAATAGAGAAACAGAGAAGGAATGGAAAAGGCAGTTATACATTTATTTTTCCCCCTTGATGATTACAGCTCATTCCTTTATCGTTGTTTTTGGTATGTGCTTTACCTTTGTTCATTTTTTTTTTCCAGAAGCAATCTTCTGAAAATCTCCTTGGAAGGCACGTCCAGTTCAAAGATGACTATGGGAATGATTGACCTGGTTTCCAAGAGATTCATTTGGTGTGGAGTTACAGGGTATCCATCGATGACCACACTAACAAAGAGAAGCATGAAAATAGCAATTCCACATTTCTTCTCTCTCTGACATCCTTTCCATCTTCCAGAACTGGTCCAGCTCTAGAGGAAGTGCCCCTGGCTTTCCCTTCTGCGACTCCATTTATCTTCTTTTTTGTTTTCCCTTTCATCTCTACATCTTAAACCTCAACAAGTCCAAGAACCATAGAATGGGCAGTGTACATGTGAACACAGTTCAGAAGGCAGAGGTGGAGAGAGGTCTGCATTTGGACATTCAGCATCACAGAACTAGGTGTTGGCAGAATTTGAGAGCGAATACAGCTTATACCTTGAACACTGGAACACCATTGGTTCTATTAATCTAAGCATGAACAGTAATAAAGAGTGTAGACAGACCTAGACTTGAAACCTGGTGTAAACTCCCCTAGGCTCAGGGCCTCGCACATACTAGGCAAGTGCTCTACCACTGAGCTACATCCCCAGTTCCAAGCTTCAGTTTTTAGTAAAATAAGGGAAATGATATTTAACCCTTAAAATTGTTTTAAAGATCAGAGAACAGGTGTGTAAAGCAACTAGTGCAGGGTCTGCTCAGTAAATAGTGGTGGATATTCTGGCTGGAGATATTTTTCCTGGAGATATTCTGGGAGGAAGCTGGGATGCAGAAGGTGAGAGAGAGAGTTGGTGAGGTCTATCACATGTCTCAGAGCAGAAAGGGTGAAGAGAATTTAAGTTAGTGGAACATTTGAGACAATGAGAGTGTCACTATGACACTGAGAGAAGTTGATAACACAGGTTGTTGTGGGAGGAGTGGCCTCGTAAGTCAGGCAACTCACTGTGGGGTGGAGCCAGCTGGGCTTGCGGTAAAGGGTATTAGACCAGGGTTGTGAGTCACAAGGCATGTCCCCCTGTGCTCCACAAAGACTCCCAGCAGAGAGGACTATAAACGCACACAGCGGTCTGGACAGTACCAACTGGAGAGGGCATGAATGTGCCATTGCTAAGGTTTTGTTTGTTTGTTTTTTGACAGAATGGGGTTTTGAACTCAGAGCTTCGGCTTGCTAGGCAGGCATTCTACCATTTTATTCATTTATTTTTTAAAACAGTGAGTATCTCAACTTGTTTGTCCTGGGAAGGGTCGCTTGAGTGGCTCTGAAGATTAGGGAAATCCAGAGTGGATGAACAGTCATTACCCTGGGATTAAGGTAAAATAAAACCTTTGTGACTCTATCAAGGCTGACCTAGGAGGTTCCTCCTATGCAAAGCTGATGATCAGGCAGGAGGTAACTCAATGTGGATATGTCCCTTCTTATTCCAAAGGGTCATTGTTGGGGGAAAAGTCTGGCACCCAGAATCTGTTCCCCTAAAACTGAAATTAGAAGAACGGTTCAAAGACTTGACTCAGGGCCATTGGCAAGGAAGAGTCAGGAGGCTCCTAACATCCAGCCAGGTCAGTGACCTGAACTCAAGACTAGGGCATTGAGCTTCCCCTGGGAGAGCTTTTACTGCTGGCTGTGGCCACTGGCTCTGTGGAGGAGCAATGGTAACGCAGCAGAGGGTAGCTGAGGGGAAAGCTAGAGCATGTAACTCCCTTGTCCAACCATGGCATTAGGTGAGGGGTACTGCTCCCTGGGTAGGACCTGAGCCAGGGAAGGACCATCACTATCTGAAGGGCAGGGGAGGGTCTGGGATAAAATCACTGTGAGTCCTCTGTGGCCTATGCCCCAAGGCTTTTAAATAACTCAAGGCTGCTACAGGAAGTGGCATGACCTGCCGCTAAAGTGGTATGTGAATGTTCAAGCCAGGTTTTACGTAATCACATGGGTACTCATAGTTTTAAAAGTAGATTGTGGGCTGGCAGAGTGGCTCAAGTGGTAGAGCACCTGCCGAGCAAACGTGAGACCCTGAGTTCAAACCCCAGACCGCAAAAAAAAAAGAAAGTAGATTTAAGATTGCTTTAAATAACTAGCGAGCAACTTGAAAGACTCACCTCGCTCTGTCCCTTGTTCCCCGCTCCCCCACTTGCTTACCCTGCAGTATTGCATACGCTTTCCATCAGAGAAAGGTCTAAGGCTTGGACAGCCAGTTCATCAGGTACTGTCAATCCTTTATGCAGATGCCAATTTAACATAACTGCCAGCTCTGTTTTGGGGTGGTTGTTTAATATGACACGCAAAGCATCTCCTACTGACAGACGTTTTAAGCCATATTCACTTGCAATTTTTTTGGCAACTGAAAAACATAAAACGGTAAACTTATTTGATTTCACATAGGAATCCATTAACCATACTATCAGACTCGGGTTAATGACATCAGTAGTAGGCTTACCTTCAAATTCTTCAAAGTATTTTGAAAATTAAAATTGCCATATTTTACTGAATTAATAATTGTCAAAGATCAGGTGTGTTTCTGATGAATCTGGTTAATTTGCCAACAGTGTTTGTGTATATGTGTGTGTGTTTGTGTGTGTGTGTGTGTGTCTGTCTGTCTGTCTTCATAACCAAACCAATGTTTAAGTGTCTTCTTCCTTCTGTATGAGTTGGCAAAATTTTAGGAAGCATCCTATATGTGTCTCAGGACCTTGCACTTACTAGGCAGGTGCTCTACCACTTGGGTCACACCCCTAGCCTTGGGTTGGTTTTTTTTTTTTTTGCTTTAGTTATTTTTCAGGTAGAGTCTTTAGTTTTTGCCTGGGGCTAGATTTGGATGCAATCCTCCTACCTCTGGCCTCCCTACATAGTTGGGATGTCAGATGCATACCACCACACCCAACTTATTGGTTGAGATGGGGTCTCCATGACTTTTTGCCTGGCTGGCCTCAAACTATAATCCTCCTGCCTCAGTCTCGCATGTGTTAGGATTATAGGAGTGAACTACCATGCGTGGCTTCATTCAGACTTTTAATATTGCAGTCTTGTGACATTTAACAATGGGATATATCCTTAGACATCCATCTATTAAGCACTTTCTTTTTGCAGTGCCAGAGATCAAAGCCAAGGCTTGTGCATGCTAGGCAAGTGTTCTACCACTGAGCTGTCCCCAGCTTGTACTTTTGTTGTTTTGCAAACATCACAGAGTATACTTGCACAAACTAAGATGTCTATAACATCACTAGGAGATATAATCTTATGGGGCCATCATTGATGGAAATGTCACACAGTGTACAACTGTATTAAACAGCAGTTTATATTGACAAACTCCTAATTTTTACTCTAATATAATTTATTAAATTGTCAATTTTATAGTATTTTATTTAGGGTGTTTGACTATAACTATGAATGTTATTAGTCTGTAGTTTCTTGTAACTTAAAAATAGGTTTATTGAGGAGAGATCCAAGATGGTGGACTAGAGGTACCCAGTGTTTACCTGCTTCTCCATGAGATAAAATCAAAACAACTGGTGAGAAGCTGCTTCCTGAGGTATGTGGCTATGGGAGTATACTGAAGTTCAATAGAGGACAGTCAGAGACACGGAGAAACCCAGGGACTTTGGATAGCAGAACAGAGGTGAGACGAGCACCCCAGGGCCTATTGCATGGCTGCATGGCAGAGACAGGGGTAGAGGTGAAAGAGGGAGAGTCCAAGTGAGCATTCCTATTACAGAATTCAGCACTGTGCAGAAGCGCAGCCTAAACAGAGGACCTGGGATCTGCATAGCAAACTGCCTCTGGAAAAGTTCTCTGTACTCCCCAGCAGATAGCCATGATGCTGTAATGGAGAATCACCTTGAGGTCTTGTCTAAATTTGCCAATTATGTAATATTGTATATTATGTAATATGTGTACAACTGTATACGTAAACTATACACGCAGGGTCAGAGGCCCCTGTATTTTTCTGTTTCCAGGAGCCCTATAGCAATACTATTTCATTGACCCAGTGGACATCTGTTTTGAGATTTAGTACTGGGGAGAGCCACTGGAACTAACCCAGTGGGAACTCTATGTGGTGGGAAACTGGTCTGTGATACTTAAGGAATGGAGGTTGCTTCCCTGTTAAGGTCAGAAGCTTCAGAAGCCAGCTGCAGGCTTTTGTGGGAAGAGCAGTCACATGTGGGCATGTGATTTCACTTGTGAGCTGTCTCTGAATGCCAGAGTTGTGGGAGGTGGATTGTTGTTCCCCATCCCCAATGCAACAGTCACTAACCCATAGAATCTCCCCACCCTCAAAGTGGGCAGTAAAAAAGTGCTTGGGGCCCTGGCATGCTGCAGTGCCCAGCCTCAGCTCTGTCCTATGAAGGAGCAGGCAAATAACTCCAGAGTAAATCTTTGTTAGCAGAGCACTGTCTTTCTCCTTAGCTCATTCTCATTAGCTCGTACTGGAGTGCAGGCCAGTTGAGATATATTTCAGTTGCTCCAGTCACAAACTACTCCCACTGGTCACAGGGTGAGCAATGCAAGCCAAAGAAGAAAGGGGTAAATACCCCAGTATTTGCTCTCCCCAAGGACTGCATAGCCTTAGAAGACATGGGAAGATGCTCTGATTGCCTACACAACTAAACAGGGTGGTGGAGGGGCACAATATTTCTATTTTTCACTAAGACTTTATTTTTGTTATTGCTGGGATTTTTTGTGTATGCATGGATGCACACACATATACATGTATTCTCTCCCTCTATTTTCTTCTTCTTTTAATGTTTAATTTTTAATGTTCTTTTTTTCTTTCACTGTTTATCTTACTCATGCTTTCCCCTATTTTCTTTTTAATTTTTCTTCCTTCCTTCACTCCTTTTCCATTTCTTTTTTCTTCCTTTTAAAAATTAATTTTATGAAAATGTTAGAGAATGAAAAATATTGAAAAAACCCATCTATATATGAATATAATATAAAGCACTGGATTGTAAGCTATTGAATATTAGGGGCGGATATTGGTAAAGAATGAGTAACTGACAGGAGGAGGAGGTTAATTTAATTAAAGCATAATATATACAGACCTGAAGTACTAAGGCAAAATCCTCTTTTACTATCAATACATACTTTAAAAAAAATAAAGGGCAGGAGGGAAAAATAGGTCTTTTCCAGGGGTGGGTACCAGTGGGAGGTGGGTGGACACAAGGAAAGGGGGAACGAGGGTGAATATGGTGGATGTATTTTGTATCCATATATAAAACAGAAGAATTAAATTCTTCTTAATTTCTGCTGAAATTGTTCTAAGAAGAGAGGAGGGAGAAGAGGGAGAATGATGGAGGGGGTAAATGTAACTAATATATATTGTTAGTGCATATGTAAATATCATAATGTATATTCCTGTACAACTATTATTTGCTAACAAAATTTTTAAAAATTAATTTTAGGGTTTTTTAATTTTTTAATTTATTCTATATTATTTTTGCCCTCTTCTTTTCTGTTGTTGGTTTTATTGTTTTTACTTTATTTCTTTGTCTGGTTTGCTTTTATTTGCTTTCCTATGCAGTGTTGGGAATTAAGCCTGACACTTTGAGTACATTGAATGTATACTCTGCTACTGAGCTACACTCCTAAGCCCAGCTGAGAAAAACTGTACCTTACTTTACTCATGACCCAGTCTCATTTGAGCCTTGGCAGATACTTCAACTTAAGGAATAGGGGAGATATAAGTTCCTAGCCAACAACTTGTCTCCCAGTAGGCATGGCTAGGGCCCCCCTACACTCCTGCTCTTGGACACTCACCCCCATAAACAGCAAAGAGAAAGGACACAAAGGTTTTAGACACTTCAGCTACAAGGGACCTCAGCATAGGTCACTCCCATACCCTATAAGATCATACATTGCTGACAAGACCAGAGGAGCAATCACAGAGGGTTCACTCTATATATGCTGCTATCTAAATCACACCTGCCTGAACCACCAGAGGGACCTATGAGAAAGCAGGTCCCTCAGGCTTTGACACAGTATGCATAGTGTCATAATCCACTAAAGACAGCCAAAGAAGCCACAGGGAAACTATATTATGAAGTACAGTTGGAATTAAACTCAACAGTACACAAAAACTGGCATATCATCAAGAGCAGGCTGCTTACTAAGAAGACCCTCACACAAAAGTAGAATAAGCTACCCACCCCAAGGAATGCACAAATTTCAACATAGAAATACAGAAATATGAAAAAACAAGGCAACATGACTTCTCCAAAAGTTTGTAACTCTCTAGAACTGATTATAAAGATATTGAAGAAGATGAAATGCTCAAAAAAGAATTCAAAAGAATGATTTTTAAAATGATCAATGAATTCAAAGAGGATATAAATAAACAGCTGCATGAAGAAAGACAATGAGGCATATGAATATGTAAGCTATAAAACGACAGAGATTCTGGAAAAGAACCAAACAGAAATATTAGAAATAGAAAGCTCAGTAAGTCAAGTAAAAACTTCAGTTGAACACCTCATCAACAGTTTAGATCAAGTAGATGAATATCAGGACTTGAAGACAAGGTTGATGAATTATTACATTCAGACAGTAATAAAGAAGAAAAAAAATGAAAGGATGACAGAACACCTAAGTTCTATGTGATACCATTAAAAGCCCAAACATATGTGTAATTGGAATAGATAAGGGACAAGAGCTACAGGATAAAGGTATATAAAACCTATTTGGTGAAATAACAGCAGAAAATTTCCCAATTATTGGGAGATATAGATATCCAGGTACAGGAGGCATTTAGAACTCCCAAAAAGACATGGCCAAAAGAGAACCTCTCCATAACACGTTATAGTCAAACTGCAAAAAGTACACAACAAATAAAGTATATTAAAAACTGCAAGAGAGAAATGCTAAGTCACATAGAAAGTCAAACATGTAAGAACAACAGACTATTTCTCAGCAGAAATGGGTAGGAGGGCTCGGAATGATGTATTTCTCATGTCCTGAAAGAAAGTAGCTGCAAAACGAGGTTACTATGCCCAACAAAGTTGTCTTTCATAATTGAAAGAGCAATAAAGACCTTCTAAGATAAGCATACACTAAAGGAACTTATGACCACTAAACCAGCATTATAGAAGAAACTTAAAGGAATTCTACACATGAAAGATGAAGCAAGATAAACATAATCACAAGAGCACAGGAGAGAATAAATCTCAGTAGAAGAGTGGATAAGCAAATGATAATTAGGAAAGAGTTAGACATTATTAATTTAGTAAACCATCAAACCTATAAGATGAATAAGGGAGAAAGAAAAAAGCATAGATTATTCAAAACCACCAAAGAAAAATGAAAAGAAGATGACAGAAACTAGTATATACCTTTCAGTAATAATGCTGA